ATCGGATACATTAACTTGTATCCTATTACTCTACCCTATCGGATACAGAAACTGGTATCCTATTACTCTACCCTATCGGATACATTAACTGGTATTCTATTACTCTAACCTATCGGATACATTAACTGGTATCCTACTACTCTACCCTATCGGATACATTAACTGGTATTCTATTACTCTAACCTATCGGATACATTAACTGGTATCCTATTACTCTAACCTATCGGATACATTAACTGGTATCCTATTACTCTAACCTATCCGATACATTAACTGGTATCCTATTACTCTACCCTATCGGATACACATTGACTGGTATCCTATTACTCTACCCAATCGGATACATAAAATGGTATCCTATTACTCTACCCTATCGGATACACATTAACTGGTATCCTATTACTCTACTCTGTAGTCGGATACATTAACTTGTATCGTATTACTCTACCCTATCGGATATATTGACTGGTATCCTATTACTCCAACCTATCAGATACATTAATTGGTATCCTATAACTCTACCCTATCAGATACATTAACTGGTATCCTATTACTCTACCCTATCGGATATATTAACTTGTATCCTATTACTCTAACATATCGGATACATTAATTGGTATCCTATTGTTCTACCCTATCGGATATATTAACTGGTATCCTATTACTCTACCCTATCGGATACATAAACTGGTATCCTATTACTCTACCCTATCGGATATATTAACTGGTATCCTATTACTCTAACCTATCGGATACATAAACTGGTATCCTATTACTTTACCCTATGGGAAACATTAACTGGTATCCTATAACTCTAACCTATCGGATACATTAACTGGTATCCTATTACTCTAACCTATCGGATACATTAACTGGTATCCTATTACTCTAACCTATCGGATACATTAACTGGTCTTCTATTACTCTACCCTATCGGATACATTAATTGGTACCCTATTGTTCTACCCTATCGGATATATTAACTGGTATCCTATTACTCTACCCTATCGGATATATTAACTTGTATCCTATTATTCTACCCTCTCGGATACATTAACTGGAATCCTATTACTCTCACCTATCGGATATATTAACTGGTATCCTATTACTCTACCCTATCGGATATATTAACTTGTATCCTATTACTCTACCCTATCGGATACAGAAACTGGTATCCTATTACTCTACCCTATCGGATACATTAACTGGTATCCTATTACTCCCTATCGGATACATTAAGTAGTATCCTATTACTCTACCCTATCGGATACATTAACTTGTATCCTATTACTCTACCCTATCGGATACAGAAACTGGTATCCTATTACTCTACCCTATCGGATACATTAACTGGTATCCTATTACTCTACCCTATAGGATACATTAATTGGTATCCTATAAATCTACCCTATCGGATACATTAACTGGTATCCTATTACTCTACCCTATCGGATACATTAACTGGTATCCTATTACTCTACCCTAACTGGCACATTAACTGGTATCCTATTACTCTAACCTATCGGATACATTAACTGGTATCCTATTACTCTAACCTATTGGATACATTAACTGGTATCCTATCGGATACATTAACTTGTATCCTATTACTCTAACCTATCGGATATATTAACTGGTATACTATTACTCTAACCTATCGGATACATTAACTGGTATCCTTTTGCTCTACCCTAACTGGCACATTAACTGGTATCCTATTACTCTACCCTATCGGATACATTAAGTAGTATCCTATTACTCTAACCTATCGGATACATTAAGTAGTATCCTCTTACTATACCCTATCGGATACATTAAGTAGTATCCTGTTACTCTACCCTATCGGATACATTAAGTAGTATCCTTATTACTCTACCCTATCGGATACATTAAGCAGTATCCTATTACTCTACCTTATCGGATACATTAAGTAGTATCCTTTTACTCTATCCTATCGGATACATTAAGTAGTATCCTATTACTCTACCCTATCGGATACATTAAGTAGTATCCTATTCCTCTACCCTATCATATACATTAAGTAGTATCCTATTACTCTACCCTATCGGATACATTAAGTAGTATCCTATTACTCTAACCTATAGGTTACATTAAGTAGTATCCTTATTACTCTACCCTATCGCCTACATTAATCCTTGAAATTAATAACTTACATTATCCTTGAACGATATTGACTCCGGGAACTCTTGAATCAAAAACCTGCAAAATAAATGTATAGTAATTGTTTACATATTTAAAAACTCAAATAAATGTCAAATTTTAGAATTTAGGATCACCACTAACCCTAAGATGTGCTAGAAAGGAATGTCTTTGAACGGTGAGACTATAAGTTGAGAACCAAATTTCCAAAAATGGGATTGTTATGAATATTTAGAAGGTGCCTATAATACTGTTAAAGTATTTTTGTTTGAGGTCCCTTCGCGCCCGTCTACTTTTTTAACTTTTAATTGTGGCTTTATTTGCGAGCATCTTCTTTTTGTTGAATATGAAACAATAACAAAAAGTTCGCGGATTTAATAACATTTTTCGTGGATTTTTCAAGATGATGGGGAAAGCTTTTTGTGGTGTCATGCGAGGTCAAACAAATTTTGATTCAGCCGTTTTTACGTTTATTGGATACAAGCGGACAGACAATTAAACAAATAATATACACACAAGGCTTTTAGGGCGCTTCGCGCCCATGTTCGATTTCTATTGTGAAAATGTTCTCTTTTTATACATAGTAAAACAAAAACAAAAAATAATTACGCGGGTTCTGTAAAAAAAATTAATGGATTTAAAAATGTTTAAAAATCAAATTTTGTTAGAAGCCAATTTTTGAAAAATCGATCATCTATAAACCATTCCTGTGGTCACGCGAGGTCCCACAAAAAATGGGCCCCATCGTTTCAGCCGTTTTGACGTTGATTGGATACAAACAAACAAACAGACACCAAAGCAAAGTATATATATAGATACAACATTTAAATATACATCACGTACTTGGAATTTTTAAAACTTGATGTTGTTCTCTTATATTGTAATTATATAAAGTTGTAATCTCTGTTTGTCTGTCTGTCTGTCTAGGTGTCTGTTTGTCTGTTTGTCCGATCATAACTCAGGAACCCCTGGACCAATTTGCCTCAAAATTTGATTGGGGAACTCGGTGAATATTCTTAGCTTGGTTTTGAGATTCTAACTTGAGTGGGTCGACCTTAATAGCGAAAATTTTGTTTCCCGGTAAAACTGTTCAAGTGCTGGTAAACGGCATAAGTAACTTTAAGTAACCTGGGCAGCGCTGTGTTACCAAGCTATTATTGAATAAAAATTTAACATTTTTTTTTAAAATTTATACTTCTATTAAACTTTGAAATAAGTTACTTTTGTATTTGAAATGGAAAAACTTTGCAGCTTAAAGGGACTGTAATCCTTATTTCAATGACCCTCAGTGCAAGGATGGAAATGCCCGATTCACAACGGTTTTCTTAATAGCCTAGTCTGAGTATAAATAAGATATCAATATTTATACTTCTGAAAACTGATTATTTTCGATTGTTGTTTCTCTACGGAAGTGTAACAAAACGACAATATATTCCACAAGGGTAGGGTTGCTTTTCACTTGAAATTATACATTCAGTCGCAAATAGGATATCTTAAAGATTCTTCAAATATGAACATTTAAGAGAATTTTTGTTTAAGAAATTGAGTCTTAACCACAAACTCAGATTTTCTAACCCCCTATATCTGTGTAAGTCTTTTGTATTTCCAATTTAGATTATTAAATCTAATAGAATTTATAGTTTGAAATGTCTCAAGTCTGCAATATTGGGTTGCAAATATATTGGGATCTGAAAAATCAGAGCTTGTGGCAATTCCTTCAATAAGTAATTTATACACAATGTTGATCCACTTGGCTTTTACGCCGGTCCAGTTCGTAGAGACGTGGTTCAAGGGTTAACATAATCTCAATATATCTGTCATTTTTTAAATCAATGAACGTCAGATCTCTTAATTTAGTAAACCCAAGATTTCTGGAAACAATTTTAAATGTTCAACGCTTGACTGAAGGCCTACCACCCTCCGTTCACAGAGTGGAAACTCCAATTGACAAGGGAACCCTTGACATATTTTTCTGATCACAGTAGAAGGAAATGTCTATATTTTCAAGTTGAAGTTGAGAGCAAATGTACGCAGTGTTCCCGGCTCAATTTTTAGTTGGAAAAATATGGTTACCACACTCGTCTAATATCATTGTTTACGGGTACCGTTGTGCTCTGGACATGTACCGTTGTGTTTTGGACATGTACCGTTGTGCTCTGGACATGTACCGTTGTGTTTTGGACATGTACCGTTGTGTTTTGGACATGTACCGTTGTGTTTTGGGCATGTACCATTGTGTTTTGGACATGTTGTGTTGTGTTTTGGACATGTACCGTTGTGTTTTGGACATGTACCGTTGTGTTTTGGACATGTATTGTTTTGTTTTTGACATGTACCGTTGTGTTTTGGACATGTACCGTTGTGTTTTAGACATGTATTGTTTTGTTTTTGACATGTACCGTTGTGTTTTGGACATCTCACAACACAATACAAATGGAGGGTAACTTGAAAGTATTTCTGCAGTCCCTTTCTGAATGAAAGGCGCGTTCAACAAAGATGAAATTAAATATTTGAATTAACTGAGCAGCTGAGCAGCTGAGCAACTGAGCAGGGAACTTCTGTGACGTTGGATACTCATAATTCCGATCGTTTGACCTCAATATATCAATATCCACTTTGGACACTTTTAATTTGAAGATTAAACTAATCTGCAAATTAACGAAAGACAGATTTTACCTGAGAATTGCTTCTTGATTTGCCATGACTGCCTTGTGCATAGGAGAGTGCCCAAAATGATCTCGAGCTAAGAATTAAATGATTTTTTATTTATGGACTTTGATAATTAATAATCGGTTTATATTTTAATTGAAAATAATGAAACGCTAGGCCAGTCACTCGGTCAACAGCCTGTCCTAGCCGCAGAGCTCGCCTGAGTTAATTGCTTGTCCACCCTCTACTTTCAGATTTTTATATTCCAAATTCACAATTCTTTTAACTTTATATTTGAGTAAAAATAAGTAAAATCATCGCTGTTTTTGTTCTTTAGATAAATAAATCTTGTCAATTACCGCCCTTGTCTTTACATCAATAAAGGGAGTGACCGGCAATGTATGGTAGTTGCACTGAGAATGTTATTGTATTGTGGAGAAATTATTAAATAACGAAAAATTTCCATTGGGAAATATGTTCGTAAACATCCAATTAGTTTACTGTAGAATTTACGAAACATTTTTCGTCGTCGTTATTTAATAACTTAAAAAATAACGATTTTCAAAACGTAACCATCCAAATAGAAAATTTTTAACGTCGACTTTGCGCTCAAACTGAATAATTATACATCACTAAAACGTTTCATAGGTCTCAAACGCATCCTAAAAAATTTCTCCACAAAAAATACATTCTCAGTTCAACTACCATACATTGCCGGTCACTCCCTTTAATGCTAAAAATAAAACGCACTTAATCGTTATGTTTAAAAACCTTTCCATTAAAAGGTTTCTCTTAAAGTTCAATGAAAATATTTTATATATTTTTAGAATTCTTAAATGTCGAGGATAGTTTTTTGTCAGAAGAAATGACGATTTTTAAAATATTTTAGAATAAAGATATTGTTTGAAGTAGTTTAATAAAAATAAGTAACGTCAACATTATCCTTGTTCAGGGTTATTTTTAAAAGTAGATTTTTTTAAAATGTTCACCAAAGCAAAACAAGGTACAACCAAAAGCTAATTTTAATAGTTATTAACTCGATATTAAATGAAATTTGATAAAGAAATTAATCTCCAGCATTGTTAATCTTTCTATGCTTAAAGAGGCTCTCAAACAACTTCCACACTTTGAACCCGATATTTGGAGAATTTGACTCTTTTACATAACAAAGGGAACAAATTTAATATTTTGAAAGCTGGAATTTTATTATTCAAAATTTTGCAAAAATTATTTTACGGAGAAAATGGAGAAAAATGTCGTCTTTTTTACACTGTTTGATGTAGTCTTTATTTCTGGCTGTAGTCATTTTTGCTTTGTGAATTATCAAATGTCAGACAGTCAGTATGAAATTGGAAGATTTTTATTTAATTTTGCAGATTTTTCATCTAGTTAAGCGTAAATTAAAAATTCGACTTTTAAAAATCACCTTGTATATTGTTACTTCCTTTGTTTAAAAGAACAGCGTACTGCAGTCTCTGGGAGGAATATAATGTGTCTATATTCTACCCTGGAACTGCAGTAAACAGTTTTTAAACAAAGATCATGTGGTAGCTACTGGAGTTTCTTTCTTGCTCCAGATTGGATCTCTGTATATACCTGTTATCCAGATCTTTCTGTCCAACATGACTTTGAGACGTCCTAGTTCACCTCGTATAGTTAGATCATGTATCAAATCTATCTTTTCCTAAAGAATTGAATAATATATCTCTGCTTAACATCTGTAATGAAAAATATGATATTTTCAAAGAAAATTTTCTGGTTTTTACAATTGTTATTCCGCATGAAAATGTGAGAAAAATAAAAGTACATTTAAAAAATAATGAAATCAATAAGACGCAATATATCCTTTCTTTTAGCATTCAGAACTTGAAGTTTTAAACACAGATGTTTTTATGTTAAATTAGGTAGTTATCTTATTGAGAGGTCTAATAAACTTAAAGTCTGAGGTCTAATGTACTTAAAGTTTCTAATGTACTTAAAGTTTCTAATGCACTTAAAGTTTCTAATGTACTTAAAGTTTCTAATGCACTTAAAGTTTCTAATGCACTTAAAGTTTCTAATGTACTGAAAGTTTCCAATGTACTGAAAGTGTGAGGTTTATTGTACTTAAAGTGTAAGGTATACTGAAAGTGTGAGGTTTTATGTACTAAAAGTCTGAGGTCTAATGTACTGAAATTGTGAGGTCTAATGTACTGAAAGTATGAGCTGTAATGTACTGAAAGTATGAGCTGTAATGTACTGAAAGTCTGAGGTCTAATGTAATGAAAGTCTGATCTCTAATGTATAAAGTCTTAGCATTAATAACCCTAAAAATCTTGCAGGTTAAATACTCAATGTACCTGAAAGTCTGGCACTTTACGAAGAAACTTGTTAACTTTTGAAATCCTTGATGTTTGATCCCGAAGAAACCATCCATATCCGTCCAGAACTGCACCCTGAATATTACATTTACAATAACTAAACAATAATTCTAAAAGGTCAAAACTTACTAAAACCATCATTTAATTCTGTGATAAACTTTAATAAAAAATGTTACCCTGAAGAGTGAAGACGAAGAATAATCAACCCTTAGGCCTGACTTATGAAACAAAACTTAATCTTAATCTAAAGTTAAACCTTCAATATAACAGGTTTCATTAAACTTAACCTTAATCCTTAGAACATATATAGTTAAAGTAAACCTTAATCCTTAGAACATATATCGTTAAACTAAACCTTAATCCTTAGAACATATATAGTTAAACTAAACCTTAATCCTTAGAACATATATAGTTAAACTAAACCTTAATCCTTAGCACATATATAATTAAACTAAACATTAATCCTTAGAAAATATATAGTTAAACTGAACTTTATATCTTAGAACATATATAGTTAAACTGAACTTTATTCCTTAGAACATATATAGTTAAACTAAACATTAATCCTTAGAACATCATATATAGTTAAACTAAACCTTAATTCTTAGAACATATATAGTTAAACTAAACTTTAATCCTTAGCATATATATAATTAAACTAAACCTTAATCCTTAGAACATATATAGTTAAACTAAACCTTAATCCTTAGCACATATATAATTAAACTAAACCTTAATCCTTAGAACATGTATAATTAAATTAAACATTGATCCTTAGAACATATATAGTTAAACTAAACCTTAATCCTTAGAACATATATAGTTAAACTAAACATTAATCCTTAGAAAATATATAGTTAAACTAAACCTTAATCCTTAGAACATATATAGTTAAACTAAACATTAATCCTTAGAAAATATATAGTTAAACTGAACTTTATATCTTAGAACATATATAGTTAAACTTAACCTTAATCCTTAGAAAATATATAGTTAAACTAAACATTAATCCTTAGAACATCATATATAGTTAAACTAAACCTTAATTCTTAGAACATATATAGTTAATCTAAACCTTCATTCTTTGAATATATCTAGTTAAACTAAGCCTTAATCCTTAGAAGATATATAGTTTAATTAAACCTTAATTCTTAAAACATAAATAGTTAAACTTAACCTTATTCCTTATAACATATATAGATAAACTAAATCTTATTTATAGAATAGAGCTGAAAACTATAGAATGGTGGATATCGAGATTAATGCTTGATCCTTTCTTTTTGCTAATGTCAAGATTATTTTAGTCTTTTTTAAAATTTTTAGAAATTATAGATTTGCTCGTAAACTTTTGAAAAACCTGGTTTTTAATTTTTGCGCATTTCTGGTGATGATGGTGTCATATCAATTGAACTAATAATCGATTTAACCAAAGTAAGTTCTGTATTAATGTTTCAAAATGGCTATAGTCCTTAAATGTGATAAAAAACATGTTTTATTCATTTTAACATGATTAGATTTATATTTGTTTAAATGCTCTAAAAGCCGGCATGTGAGCAGCTTACTTTAGTTATAATCGGATATTAGTTCAATCGATATAGCATCGTATCTGTATTGTTATCAAACGTAATTTTTATAAAGTAGGGATATCCAAAAAAGAGGATTAAGAAGTATATCAAAAGTGTGTACATTGGATATCCCATTCTAAAGTTTTCATATCTAGTTAAACTAAACCTTAATCCTTGAACAATTATCCAACCGTTGAAAGAAATTGGCTTAACAATAAAAAATTACCCTTACAACAGAAAATATAATAAATGTTTAATCTTCTACGTGCTAATCTTAAAAACAACAATAAATTAGAGATCAATTAGGTTGAGTCGAGTGCTCTTTGTTCTAGAAACTAATTATAATTTTATTCCTTTTCTTTATAACCATAAAATGCAATCTGTTGAATAATTTACATTTTACATTCTTTTAAAAATCTTTTAAAAAGACACAGCGGCATTCAAACTCAATTAAGGAGACTTTTGTTGAAATTTAAACTAACCCTCCAGTTAAAAAGAAAACTGATTCACAATAGTTCTCTTTAATCCTTTATTTGATCTATAATGTGGAAAAAGTATTTATTTCTGTCAATTTTCTATTTCCAAAGAGAAATATCTAGATATCTCATTTATTCATGATCAGGCCATGATCTGAAGGGTATCGTTGTGAATCGGACATGCCAATATATAAATGGAAAGCTATTAAGAATTGAAAATCACATACAGTTCCTTTGACTGCAATTAGCCGGGTCCAATGAAAATTACGAGTAAAAAGAACAATATTGATTTTAGATTGAATAAGAGAACCATTATTCTGAAAACTAAAAGTTATATTTCATTCATAAATTTGGAAGAAGGTCATCAGAAGTGTTGCATTTCCAATTCTTAATAAAAATTAACAAATTATTATATTTGTAGATTTTCTGGTCTTTTTACGGATTAAAATCATTAATCTTTTCATGAGAGGTTTCCAGCAGAGGTTAACTTGTACATGTAGTAAATGCCATACTCATAAAACTGCTTTCAGATCTGTATCAATCCATGTGCAACTGGTCAGATATCCATGTCAACAGGAACACAATCTCTTAAGCGATCAATGCCAAACCAATGGGCATGACCTCGTCAGCTATCAATGTCAACAAGGACAAAAGCTCAGTTATCAATGTCAACACAGACACAAGCTCTTAAGCAATCCATGCCAAATCAATTGGCACGATTTCAGCCATCAATGCCAAACCAATGGGCACGATCTCAGATATCAATGTCAACACGGACACAAGCTAAGCAATTAATTTCAACAGGAACACAAGCTCTAAGTCAATCAATACCAAACCAATGGGCGCGATCTCAGCTCGCCGATTAGCGCCGGTAGATATAAACATAGTTAATCTAATCACAATTTAAAATTTAATCTTGTTACTTAGTTCAGGTTTGCCAATATCGTGTTACACAATATTTATTACAATTACACGATATTTATTACAAACAAGCTTTATTATATATAACACACTAATTGCATCCAATTCTAACTGTATCTCACCCAAACTATATATTCGACCCTAACTATATCCAACCTTAACTATATCCAAACCTAACTATATCCAACCCTAACTATATCCAACCCTAACTATATCCAACCCTAACTATATCCAACCCTTACTAAAATATGCCGAACCTGTAATCTCTCAACGTTTCCTATTTTTAACCACATTCTGATAGCATCCTCCATAGATCCAGGTTTGCTGGGGGAAGGAGGTTCAGCAAGGCTAGAGGTCAAAGCAGCTGTTCCAGCTCGGCTCAGACTTCCACTGAAACATGCGGGATTTTCAAATAAAAATGCGGAAAATTTCACACTGATTGCCATGTTCAATATCTATTTATTTTGGGGTAATCATTTCAATGCTGAATTGATAAGCTGTTTCTTGTACATTTAAATTGTAATTATGACTCTTAATCATTTTATAGCTTTAAAATAATCAGATAAAAATACTGTAACCGTAATTCAAGTGACCCTCCAGGGAAAGATTGCAATGCCCGATTCACAACCGCAACTTAATATTCTTTGTCTGAGTATAAATTAGATATCAATGTTTATCATTTTAAAACAAATTAATTAAATCTAGGACTCCCTATAAAAGTGACTAGCGCATTTCTATTGCAGAAAAAATAAAGGAATAATCAGAATTAAACACTTTTATCTGTAAAGAAGGACAATATATATATAATAAAGCTCTTTGCTCATATATATTTTTTGTATATATGTTGAATCGTAAATTGTGAATCGGAAAATTCTATCTTTGGGTTGAGGTCATTTGAAATTACGCTAACAGCTGATTAGTCTTAAAAGAATAGAATTTTCCGACCATAAACCTATTTTAAAGTTTTAAATTATATGAGTAGATTCAATTAAAACTTTCCGGCAAGTTTAAACTGAAAGAAGTCGGCAAAACTTTTTAAAACATAAATTTGCAACATGGATATAATATCTATTCATTTAAGGGACATTTAGAAAATTAAATTTATCTTCACTCTTCCACTATACTATCTTAAGCCTGGAGCTCCCAACTCCACTCTTCCACTATACTATCCTAAACCTGGAGCTCCCATCTCCACTCTTCCACTAAACTATCCTAAGCCTGGAGCTCCCATCTCCACTCTTCCACTAAGCTATCCTAAGCCTGGAGCTCTCATCTCCACTCTTCCACTATACTATCCTAAGCCTGGAGCTCCCATTTCCACTCTTCCATTTTACTATCCTAAGCCTGGAGCTCCGATCTCCACTCTTTCACTATACTATCCTAAGCCTGGAACTCCCATTTCCACTCTTCCACTATGCAATCCTAAGCCTGGAGCTCCCATCTCCACTCTTCCACTAAACTATCCTAAGCCTGGAGCTCCCATCTCCACTCTTCCACTTTACTAATCAAACCCTGGAGCTACGCTCCTCCACTATACTAACCTAAGCCTTGAGCTCCCAGGCTGACCATCTGCTGGACCTACGGTCCTCCACTATACTAACCTAAGTCTGGAGTTCTCAAGCTGACCAGCTGCCGGACCTACGCTCCTCAACTATACTATCCTAAGCCTGGAGCTCACAGGCTGACCAGCTTCCGGACCTACGCTCCTCCACTATACTAACCTAAGTCTGGAGCTCCCAAGCTGACCAGCTGCAGGACCTACGCTCCTCCGTTCCATCATCAGTTCTCCTGACATCCTAGCCCTAATCCAACCTTGATACTGAAACAAGAAAGATTAAAAGAGAAAATTCAAAAATCAAAGAAAAAAGTTTTTGAAATTGTTGTTAATATAATGTTCCGTTGAAGCAATTACGAGGACTGTTAAGTTCTTAAACTTAGACTGTAGTATATAATCTATAAACAAAATCTATATTTTAAAGTATCAAAGTTCTACGACATCGAGTTGATTAGAAAATATGAGGATCTGGAAAGAATTTAGTTTCTGTAAATTTGCACCACCATTAATTTATGTTTGTATATCTTGGTTTGAGAAGAAAACTGTTTATAATGAAAATATAAAACTAAGGAAACATCTCCTAAAAATCAATTATATATTTGATTAATTTTCAGAAAGGAAGATATAATTAAAAGACCCAAACAAAATGACTAAATATATAGTCGATGAGTTAACAAACAAAGCTAGATATTTCTTAAATGGGTTGAGTTTATAAGTTTATTGATTTTTTGTTCTTTTCTAAAAATGCAGAACGTATTTGTATATTGACTGCGTGCTTCACAATGAGTGTACTTTATTGTTTTTTGTTTGTTTTAAAATAATTATTAATTTGATCTTATTGAAAGTTTTGAAAGACTATTTATTCTCACCTAGTTTCCCTGAAACTCATTTAAATGATAAGAATTGCTCCGACCAGTGGATCTCTAACATTTTTCATCTTTAAAAGTTTTAAAATGAAATTAAAATCTAAAATGTGAAGAATATCATTATAAACTACAGTATGAGACTGTAAACACGATCTGAAACTTAAAAAAAAGGATTGTTCCAAAATAAAATTAAATGTGCAGCAAGGTTTATTTAATCATTTAACAAAGAAAGAAACAAGTTTACAGTTACAGGGAGAGCTATGAATATAATTGGAAACAGAAAGCAGAAATTCCGTACAGTCGATTCTGAAGTCTCATCCTTTGTGGGTAACCCTGTACCCCACTGAAAGAAGTTTATTAATGGATATCAACTTCTTCCAACAAAAGAAAGTATTTTTTTTTCCTGTTTTGAAAACTACAGTTCGTTTATGTGTCACCATAGTTTCAATAGAAGTAAATATTTCCATTTACTCGCCGATTGAAGGATTCATATCTCTAATTGGATAATGAGAATGATAGAAAGATAGATGCTACCGCCATACTATTTCTATTGGTTCAGAATAGACAACAAACACATGACTGAACCCTGATTGGATGAGGCGCTAATGGTCTCGGCAGGTGTGGATCTATTGTTGAGATAGATGAGGTTGCTAAATGAGACTAAATGGCAGTAAAAGTAGCAAAAATAGGATTTCTGGAAGATTTTAAATCTTAAAATATGAACTTAATGAGACTGTACCCTTGAAACCTTTTAGCTTGCAAATTTTTTGATAATTTCTCCATTGCTTCCATGAATTAAGAAATGCACAAATTACTTTAGTAGAGAAACCACATAAAATATAGTCAACATGGACGTGTATAATTCACACCTGATCTGCCAAACCTTGTTAAGGTACCGTTGTAAATCGTAGAGAACCCCTGGACCGATTTGCCTAAAATTTTGATTGGGAAGCTCGGTAGAACCACAGGAATGTTTTTTAGTTTGGTTTAACATTTCTATAGTTGACTAAAGAAAGATTAGTTGGCAGGTAAAGCTGGGTTTCCAGATTAATAAAATTAATAAAATTAATATAGATAAATTTTCGTTCACTAGATTCTTAGTAAGAAATTAACTATTAATAGATTAGTTGAATGCGATGTAGATCTTTATAATTAGAATCTAATTGATTCTAAAGAAAGTAATTAATTAATTAATACTTTTTTTTTACTTGGCAGTGGGCAGCGAGGGCAGGAAGGCCCGCCACAACAATTTCTAGACCGAGCCACATTCTCATCATTTTCTCGTCAGAGCCACCTTGAAATCCTCGTCCTTTCAATACTATCTATTAAGGGTTTAATTCTCCAAGATAAAACTATTTTTTAAGAATCGGACCACGTTAGGGCATAAATGAAATATTGAATTTTTATAAATCGAAAAAAAAGTTTCAATTGAATTAACATTTTTGATTTCAATGTCCTTAAAAATGTTTACCTTTTTCTACGCACATTTTCAGATATTCTTGGTATGGAATGCCCCAAATAATTACCAGATTATAGAACGTAACTTTAAGATTTTTGTTAATTATAATGAAAAAGGACAAAGATTTCGAGGTGGCTCGCGGACGAGAAAATGAGGAGAATGTGGATCGGACGAGACATTGTTGTGGCTGCACCTTCCTCCCCTCGGGCAGCTTACAAAGGAAAATCTTATATTTGATTGATTTAAGTTGAAAATAAACATGAAAATGTTTGCATGCACAGCATCATGCCAAAATAAAGTAAATTGCACATAATTTTAAAATACAGGGTGTCCCACTAAACATGACAGTTGGTGAATAGTTTTGAATATGTCTTCTTCCATATACTGTACTTTTTATGAAACACTTTTTTCAGTTTTTTTCGTTGAAAAAATCTTTTACTCAAATATTTTTTAACTTTGAAATCAATTTTACGATATCATAGCTGCCTTGTACTATTTTTTCTTTGGTATCAAATAACTTATAATTATGGAAATTATGGAAGAAGACATACAAAACTATTTACCAATTGTCATGTTTCGTGGAACACCCTGTATTACATGTTTTAATCAATGATAACAGGAGAAAGCGCTCTAAAAAGAATAAAAATGTTTCTAAAATTTAACCGGATATAGTTGATGTCTTCATAGTTTGTATAAAATCAAAACTATAGAGCAGGTCCGATGGCATAAATTTGTCGCATAAACTCAAATTTTCTAATCCCTTTATCTCTGCGACCGGAAGGTGTAACCCTTTGATATTTTAAACTTGGATTATTTGATTTAACATTATTCATAGTTTGATTTATCTAATGTCTATGAAATTGGATTAAAAAGATATAGGGATTAGAAAATCAGAATTTGTGGCAAAGACTCAAATCCTTTGTCGCTTCTCCTTCCTTCTCTTCTGCAGTGGCATAGTACACAAGGCTTAGAGAAAATCAAAACAAAAATATTTTCTACATTTGTCTAGGAAACCTATCCGGGGAAATTAATTTCCAGATGTAAGAAATTCCTCACAAATACCAAACTAAACCAAACCAAACCGAGAAGAATTCTAATCCTTTGATTTAGAATCTTGTTTTCGTTCTTGAGAAACAATGTACTAAAAGAAAATGGTGGCGAAAAAAGTTTGATTGGTTTAAAGGGATTGTTGACGTCATTTCCAGGGACCTTTGAATTTAAAAAAGGGCCCGATCCACAACGTTGCCCTTTAACCGTTTGTCTCAGAAAAAAATATGAAAATATTCTCGTTTTTCTTTCTAAAATTGATTAATTCTGATTGGGATTTATCTGCAAAAGTGACTTGCGAATTTTTGGCAGCAGAGACAAAAAACTTAATTTACAGAATTCAACACTTCAAAATATAAAAAAAATATCTTCCCCATTGGTGCCAATGTAAAGACTTAAAGAGTTATGTTGGGATTCGTGCCTTATTTTTCTTTTTTTTTATAATTGAGGGTAAATTGAAATTACGTCATCAGTTCCCTTATGATGGATAAACATTCAGGTGAGTTATGCTGATAACTGAATCTGATACAACTTTTTATTAAGAAAAGGAACAGAATAACAGAATAACAGAATAACAGAATAACAGAATAAAGGAAACTTTTATTTTTTTATTCCAGAAAAGGCTTTTTATTATTTATTTGCAACAAAGCTAAAACGTCGTATAGACGTTAGATATATCAAAATATGATTTATGTTAGATTAAATAATTTAAGGTTTACACCATCAGGTTGCAAAGTTAAGAAATTTTAAAATTAATGGCAGCGACTTTCTTTGCTTATAAAATTAAATTGAGTTAACGCATGAGAACTCTATTTGTATGTTTGTATGTATGTCCTAATGTCCTATCATAACTCCTGGACTAATCTGCTTCAAATTCTGATTCGGAACTCGGTAGAACTACACAAATGTTCTCAGCTAAGTTTTTAAAATCTAAGTTTTGAAGATTGACTTTTAACAAACAAAAAATAGTTTTCAGGTAACGATTAGTTCCAAAGCTGTAGTATTTAAATATAATTGATAATTTTTAATCCATTTATCTGTGTATGGAACATGCCTAACTATGCAGTAAGTACTATTGCCTAAACAGTATTGCCTTGCATCATGCAATATAAATATTGATTTTGCGAAACAAGAAATATTTGTTTTATGGTAGAATCAATATTTTGAACAGATTTGAAGACTTTTATGAACTAAAGAAACTAATAATGGGATTTACTCATTAGTCTCTGGACCTATGGCCGAGGCAGTGTCAAAGTTAGTTTTGTAGATGTGCTAAAAGGGTATTATCTATCTGGAAAAATGTACCATAAACATGAACAGTCCAAAAGCAAGTATATATTATTCATTTAAACAAGATCTTCAAATTTTTTTGTAAAATTGAAGAAGAATCTAACAAGATTTTTTTTCAAAAAGCAAAACGACAATATCTTCCTATTCTAGTAAACAAGATTTGGTAACTCGGACACAGTTCCTTTAACATTAAATGAACGCGAAAACGTATTTTACATTAAACATGTGTGCGTTCATATTATCCCTTTACCATGAGAAAAGTAAAGTGTAAGTAAAATTATTCCTTTAACAGGGATAATGTATAGGAGTATAATTATCCCTTTACCATGAGAGAACGTGTAAGTAAAATTAATCCTTTAACAGGGATAATGTATAGGAGTATATTTATCCCTTAACCATGAGAGAACGTGTAAGTAAAATTAACCCTTTAACAGGGATAATGTATAGGAGTATAATTATCCCTTAACCATGAGAGAACGTGTAAGTAAAATTATTCCTTTAACAGGGATAATGTACAGGAGTATAATTATTCCTTTACCATGAGATAACGTGTAAGTAAAATTAATCCTTTAACAGGGATAATGTATAGGAGTATAATTATCCCTTTACCATGAGAGAACGTGTAAGTAAAATACAAAAAAGTTTTTGCCGACTTCTCCGAAAAACAAATATTTTTTACAAAACTCATGATTAGCACAAAACTTCACAATATAAATTGTCAAATGAAGATCTTAGTTCTGAGTCGCGATTTTATAGAATCTACCTTCGTTCGTAAAGAGTTAACTCACTGCACTACCCCCTTCCTGGCTTCCTGGCTTCCCTTCCTTCCTGGTTTCTTGGCTTCCTGGCTTTCTGGCTTTCTGGCTTCCTGGCTTCCTGGCTTCCTTACCTTCCTTGCTTCCTCGCTTCCCAACCTTCCTGGTTTCCTCGCTTCCCTACCTTCCTGGCTTCCTGGCTTCCCGGCTTCATGGCTTCCTGTTTTCCTGTCTTCCTGTCTTCCTGTCTTCCTGGCTTCCTGTCTTCCTGGCTTCCTGGCTTTCTGACTTTCTGGCTTCCTAGCTTCCTTTTTTCTGCCCTCCTGGCTTTCTGGCTTCCTGTCTTCCTGACTTCCTGGCTTTCTGGTTTCCTGACTTCTTTTCTTTCTGTCTTCCTGTCTTCCTGACTTCCTGGCTTCCTGTTTTCCTGTCTTCCTGTCTTCCTGTCTTCCTGGCTTCCTGTCTTCCTGGCTTCCTGGCTTTCTGACTTTCTGGCCTCCTAACTACCTTTTTTCCTGCCCTCCTGGCTTTCTGTTTTCCTGACTTCCTGTCTTCCGAATTACCTGGCTTTCAGACTTCCTGACTTCCTTATTTCCAGTCTTTCTGACTTCCTGGCTTCCTGTCTTCCTGACTTCCTCTTTTCTAGCTTCCTGTCTTCATGACTTCCTGGCTTCCTGGTTTCCTGTCTTCCTGTCTTTCTGTCTTCCTGTCTTCCTGGCTTCTATCTTCCTAGATTAATGACTTCCTGACATCCGGGCTTCCTGGATTCCTATATTCTTATCTTCCTGGCTTCCTGTCTTCCTGGCTTCCTGTCTTCCTGGCTTCCTGTCTTCCTGACTTCCTGTTTTCCTTGCTTCTTGAGTAGTTGTAATCGGCCCGTACTGGAGCTAATAAAATATAATAATAATATTCTAATTCTATTTATTCGTACTCAGTTTAAAAGCAACGAGGAATTGCTCCCTGAAATTTTGGAGTAGTAGGCTTTGATGGTCCAGAAAGGACCTGGTGTTTTTTGAGAAAACCCAGCGGCGGACGGTGGACTTCCTCCCTTTCTGGCTTCCTGACTTCCTGTCTTCCTGTCATCCTTTCTTCTTGGCTGCCTGACTTCTTGTCTTCTTGACTTCCTGACTTTCTCGCTTTCTGTCTTCCTTTCTTCCTGGCTTCCTGTTTTTCTGTCTTCCCTGACTTCCTGTTTTCCTGGCTTTTTGTCTTCCTGTCCTCCTGTCTTCCTGTCCTACTGCCTTCCTGTCCTCCTATCTTCCTGTCCTCCTGTTTTCCTGTCCTCCTGTCTTCCTGTCCTCCTGTCTTCCTGTCCTCCTGTCTTTCTGTCCTCCTGTCTTCCTGTCCTCGTGTCTTCCTGTCCTCCTGTCTTCCTGTCCTCCTGTCTTCCTGTCCTCCTGTCTTCCTGTCCTCCGTTCTTCCTGTCCTCCTGATCTTCTATCTCCCTGGCTTTCTAGATTAAGGACTTCCTGGTTTCCTGTCTTTCTGACATCCTGTCTTCCTGACTTCCTGTTTTCCTTTCTTCCTGTCTTCTATCTTCCTGTCCCCCTTTCTTTCTGACTTCCTGTCTTCCTGTCTTCCTGTCTTCCTGTCTTCCTGGCTTCCTGGCTTCCTGGCTCCTGGTGCCAAGTTAGTATGACGAGCTGGTAAATCTATATTTGTTGTCTATCCTTCCCACTTTATTCTTCAATACAAGGTCAGGGGTAACTTTTAAAACAACAATAAATACAGGGAGAATAGAATAAATAGCTTGAATACAGGGAGAATAGAATAGAATAAATAGCTTGAATACAGGGAGAATAGAATAAATAGCTTGCATACAGGGAGAATAGAATAGAATAAATAGCTCGATTACAGGGAGAATAGAATAAATAGCTTGAATACAGGGAGAATAGAATAAATAGCTTGAATACAGGGAGAATAGAATGGAATAAATAGCCTGAATACAGGGAGAATAGAATAGAATAAATAGCTTGATTACAGGGAGAATAGAATAAATAGCTTGAATACAGGGAGAATAGAATAAATAGTTTGAATACAGGGAGAATAGAATAAATAGCTTGAATACAGGGAGAATAGGATAAATAGCTTGAATACAGGGAGAATAGGATAAATAGCTTGAATACAAGGAAAGCAGAATAAATAGTTTGAATAATTTCAATAATTACCCTTCCTCCTGCGGTTATAGGATGGGCTAGGTGCCGAGCACTGCGGCCTCTTAAATATTAAACAGGCTAGGGGGCCGAACGTTGCAGTACATAAATTTGAAATCAATTTAGAATTTGGAAATGTAAATTTTAGCAAATGTAATTATAGGAAAGTGTAACTTTATAGGAAATGTAACCCTATAGGAAATGTGATTATTGCAAGGATAATTAAAGTAATTGTAATTATATCAAATTTAATTATAGCAAGTGTAATTAAAGTAATTGTAATTATATCAAATTTAATTATAGCACGTGTAATTAAAGTAATTGTAATTATATCAAATTTAATTATAGCACGTGTAATTAAATGAAGTTTAACCATATGAATTGTAACTCCGCCCCACACTGAATATCGAGATCAAGTATTCAAGAAAAGATACTCCAGATCCTTCACACAATAGTTTCTACCTCGGGTTGGAATTGTTTATATTTACGCCTCGGCCTTCACAAGATAATTATCCCAAACTTTACCAATCATTGTATTCTTTCCGACTTTATTCCAGGGGGGAACTTAGGCAAATATAGAATAAAGGAATAAAGGTTAGATCACAAACTCTTTCTTTTTACAACAAGTAATCTCTAAATCTTTGCAACCCAATGCCGTAGTCCTTTGATATTTCTATGATTTCTGTTAGATCAAATAGTTCAACGATATAATGATAAGAAAATTTTGATTGACTCAGTTCCTATAAACGTAGTAGTAGTATGCAGGAAAGGAGTTGGGGGCTGATTACTCGCTAGTCAAGGAGGAGGGGGGCTGATTACTCGCTAGTCAAGGCTTCTTAATTCTATATCTTTACAATCTCATGTGTTTACCTTTGACATCAGAATGCAAAGATATAGGAATTGAAAAATTAGATTTTGAGGCAAGTAATAATCAGTTCCTTTACTAATTCATTTCTTAAAACTCATTGATATATAGATAATAAACCAGCAAAACTCACAAACAGACAAGCAAAATAACAAACAGACAAACAAACAAAGAATATTTATAGACTAAAAATTGGGAAATTAATTAGAAAATTATCTTTAATCTTAACTAAGTCTGATTACTTGGAAATTAAAAAATCATCAAATGGGATTATTTATTATTTTTAATCTATCTGACACAGCAATTAATTGAGCAGTAAAGCAAGAGTGTTTTAGGCAGTACATACATTGCTCTCTCAATTCAAGGCTTACAGAACAGAAAGTACATTCATACAAATCTGGGAAATTCTACAGGCAGTCTGGCTTTAGCCACTCTTAATTCGAAAATGGGGCCAAAACTCAAAATATTCTTGGATAAGTCTTCAGATACTTCCCTAGAGGAAATGGATATTGGATAGTGAGACCACGAAAGATCTAAACTACACAATTTGTGCAAAGTATTAGAACATTTGCAGATAAGAAAGGCTTGAATATTTTCTGGAATCTGGCAGATAATGATAGAATTGAAGCAGTAAGTTACACATACAGAAATACAGTGAACAATATAACTCACACTTCAAAAATTGATCGTTTCCTCAGTAATGAAAGATTTTATAGTTCAGTTACCAAAGCTGGTATGATAATTCATCCAGATAACATGTCTGGTCATCATCCTATATTCTGTAAGTTTGATATGGATCAACTTAATTTGGAAGTAGAGCAGTTAACCGGTACACCAAAACCTGTAATAAATACTGAGGCCCCACAATAAATCTAGATAAATTACATTGTACATTTCCAAATAGCTATGTGCCCATTAGAAAATACGTAAATCATGTATTGCGATTAACTCAATCTAGATACGTAGATATATATTACTCCGTCATACCCATATTGTGATTGTTTAACTACGTTATATATAACAGCGCATAACATGCAGAAATATACTTAGTTGATATATAGACTCTGCTTTGATTGCTACGATGAAAGTAATCATGTCCTTCATCTAAATGAATGAGTTGACCTTGATAGCTGATCGCGCCCATTGGATTGGGATTGATTGATTGATTTAAGACAATGCTAGCTGGCCATGCTCATTGGTTTGGCATTGATCGATTATGTGCTTCTGTCTGTGTGGACAATAATAGCTGGTCATGCTCATTGGTTTGGCATTGATCGATTACGTGCTTGTGTCCGTGGAAAAAAATTGATAGCTGATCGCGTCCATTGGTTTTGGGTTGATCGATTACGAGCTTGTGTGCAGCTGGTTGACATTGATAGCTGACAAGATTATGTCTGGGTTTAGCATTGACAGCTAATTGAAACTGAATTGTACCTGGATAGATACGGGTTCGAGAACCATTTATGGAGTAGGACATTTACTAAAGACCTAGTTGGAGTAAAGCGTCTCTAGAGCAGCAAGTGAATTATAGAGATAACCTAGATAAAGACTTAATATCCTAGACGCACCACAGGAATGTAACCTTTGCAACACTCTTCATTGTCAGAATCATTGTAGAACGAACAAATGTTGTTCTAGGTCTATCTTTTAATTACATTTTTTTTAGAAGCAATAGAAGAACTAAAGGTAAGACTTGTTTCAATTAATTTTTCTCCATTAAGAACAATGATATACCAACACTCTACACGGTTGAAGAAGACTCGTAAAAAATGCTTTCAAAGGACTGCGTAGTGGAGTACATAGTCTAAAATTATCTAAAAAGATTGAAAATGTACCAAACGAACTGCGCAGAGTATTTAAGAACTGCGTAGTAGAGATTATTAGAAAAAAGATTCCTTTTGTATAAATTATGTTTCCCTAGATATTATAGTTTAAACATTGTCTTACATATTTGTCACTGTAAAATCTTTTCCTAGTATTAAAGGATGAGGAGAGTCTTTAATCTATACATATACTTCAGTTTTATACCAGTAGAATAAACATGCATCTGAGGATGAGCTTACAGCACAAAATTATGTATAAATTGGTAGTATTCCAGATTCATTGCATTTCCTATTTAGGAAAAGTTTCTTACATTTGAGTGAGCCAATAGAAAAATGATCGTTTCTTCTACAGAAGAAATTCTTTAATCCAAAGTCAGGATAAAAAACTTAATGTTTTTCTCCGTAAACGCTAGTGAAACTCTCAGTCAGGAGATTCAAAGTTTTGACCTTAAAAGATCAAACTTAAAGATCATAAAATTCTTTAATGCAATATTTAGTTTTCCCTTCTCTGTGTGTTAAAAGTTCCATAATCCAGAATTTAACAAATTAAATCTCCATTTCAATTAATATGGTTTAACAAGTTTGCTCAGAGAATAGAAGTCCCCTTGACAAACATTCTAAAATGCTCACATGCAATATAAATATTCTATAAGAAGATCAAAGAGAGCCAAAAGTCAATTACTTCAAGATAAATGTATTCAAAAATTGCTCAATAGAGGGGGTGATATATTCAAAGATTTTAAGAAATTCCGTGCACAGAGCACAACAATTTCAAATTGTATAGATGGAGAAGTTGGTGCCCAGAATATTGTAGATCATTTTTAAGAAATCTATGAAAATCTGTACTCCCAGCATACTCTAGGAGAAGATTTTGATAAAGTGCAGAAAAATATACAAGAAAGAGTTCATCATGTATTACAGGATGATATAAATAAAGTTAATCACCAGTCAGTCAAAGATGCACTTAATAAAATGAAAGTAATGAAAAGTGATGCAGTATTTGACTTCAGCTCAGACTGCTTAATGAATGCATCTAACAACTTAAAAGATCATGTGACCACCCTATTTAAATGGTTTTTGGCTACAGTAAAAATTCCTGCTTTTTTACTACTGTGCACATTAGTGCCCATAGTGAAGGACAACTTAGATGACATTGCTATTAGTGACAATTACAGGGCGATTGCCATTGGAAGCTTGATTTTAAAATGGTTTGACTGGTTGATATTAATTCTAAACTCTGATAAGCTGACCACAGATGAAATTCAGTTTGGTTTTCAGAAGCTAGCCAGTACTATAATGTGCAGCTGGGGGGTCAACTCTGTAGTGGATTATTACAAGAGAGCTGGTAGAGCAGTTTATGCTTGTGTCTGAGTAAGGCATTTGATCTTGTGTTTTGAGAGTGCTCTTCTCAGAGTTATTGGAGAGGGGTGTTTCACCTCTAGCATTCAGTTGTTTAATGTTCATTTACTCAAATCAAAAATGTAATGTTAGATGGGGTAATGCGTTCTCAAATACCTTCAATGTACAAAATAATGGAGTCAGACAAGGAGCAGTTTCTTCCCCTGTGATATTCTGTATATACATTGACAAAGTTAATCAAGTTATTACGCTGTTCAACGATTGGATACCAAATCCAGGGTTATATTATAGGCATCTGGGTATATGCAGATAATATTATTCTGCTTTCTCCTAGCAGAACAGGTCTTCAGGAAATGGTGAAAATGTGTGAAAATTTTGCCAAAGCTAATAAACTGAAATTTAGTACAAATATTTAAATTAAAAGATGTAAAACTAAATGGCTTATATTTTCTAAAGAAAGGGTTAATTATAATGAAATAACCCCAATTTTATTGAATGAATTACCTTTACCATTTGTAAACGACTTAAAACATTTAGGAAATGTTCTGCAAAGTGATGATTCAATGACCATAGATTGCAATAAAAAACGAGCTATTTTCATTTCAAAATTCATTTTCTTAACCAAGAATTTTATTTTAACAGTCCTGATGTTATTTTGAAACTGCATAATATTTATTGTTGCAATTTTTATGGATCTAGTATTTGGGACTTGAGTTCCCAATGTGTTTCAAAATTTTATATAGCATGGAATACTGAAATTAGAATTCTTTTTAATGTGCCTAGAGATACGCATAGGTACTTAAGATTGAAAGTATTTCGCAATGTTTAATTTTAAAAACTATGTTAGCAAGTAGATGTGTGTGTTTCTATGAGACTATTGTAGCAAGTTCTAAGCTTTTCATTAGATTTCTTTCTAATTTATGCAAAAATGACCTTAACACAGTTCTTGGCAGAAATTTATTTTCCATTGCAAATGATTGTTTTGTAAATCTATCTGATCTAAGTAAAATGTTAGTTAAGAAACAAATTGAATATTTTGATGTCCCATTGGAAAGTTCCAATTTTACAAGAACTAAAAATACAAGAATGAATAATTTATATGTTGAAGGATTCGATGATTACGTAACAACTGTAATGATAAATAAGTTATGTAAAGAGTAATGACAAGTGTCGCCTATCTCATATTTGTGTATTATTTTGCATATTTTTTGAATAAGAAATTGTTGTCTAATGTACAATTACCGCGTATACAATAACCTATTATGAAAATTTCTTATACAAATGAAGTACCGTCTGCATGTATAACCATAAGGTAGGGCGAACCGCGTCATTTATATCTCCCTTCTATTCCTTACTCCCTGGTACCAATACATTTAAATAAGTTTATTAAATCAAAAATCAACATATCACAAATTACGATTGTAATAACAAAACATAGATATATTTTGATACACAATAAATATACAAATCAAAATGATATTTTGAATATCATCAAAATTTGTTTCAAAATTTTTAAATTTTAGGAAAAATAACAGCTTCATATATTAACAATTTTAATATTTTTTCTGAATTTTCTAAACAAACCTTTATATAGACATCTAACAGCATCATATACGTAAATGTAAATGTAATCAAAATTTAAAATTTTTCATGTTTCAGCAATTAACGTTCCTTGCCTTATTACCTTGATTTAGATGAGGTTCGAACTTATATGATATGTCTTGCTAATCCTATCAAATAAAAACTAATCCGTATCTTTTGTAATCCGCAACGGATTAAGTTCAATAAGGTCCGGCCAAGAAATCCACAAGTTTTCAGACATAAGTTCCTATACCTCTATTCACTTAATATCACATTTATTATATACAAAACAAAGTTCATCATTTATACATTCAGTTTTTTAAAGTTTTTTTTTATGGTGCTATAAGTATTTTCTCCTAAAAATGTTTTAAAACGGTGTTTAAAAATACTAAGTCGAGGTACGTTATGTTTAAACTATAAGGTACGTTATGTAAATTATGAGTAACATTTTTGCTATGTTTTGATATGTAATGATGTTTCTGTTACAAATCAAGAGTTAATGCATCTGAACTCAACTAAAGAATACCCTGTTCATATACTTTAAAAAAAGGTTAACTGTGCACTAAAGAAAGAGCATTGACAACAACTTGTAACAATAATTAACAATTAACAATAAGGAACATTTTTAATCAAGATGATTTTACATTCTTGAGATCACAATAATTATTCATTTCTCAGTTTAAAAGCAATGGATGCGTATAAAGATAGAAAATCATATTGGTAGATGTGTACTCTGAATTTGATACATTACTGTACGCATATTAGTGGACCAGTCTTAGGTAATGTTATATCATCCTTAGTCAATGTTATACATGTTATACCATCCTTAGGTAATGTTATATCATCCTTAGATAATGTTATACCATCCTTAGGTAATGTTATACCATCCTTAGATAATGTTATACCATCCTTAGGTAATGTTATATCATCCTTAGATAATGTTATACCATCCTTAGGTAATGTTATACCATCCTTAGGTAATGTTATACCATCCTTAGGTAATGTTATACCATCCTTAGATAATGTTATACCATCCTTAGGTAATGTTATACCATCCTTAGGTAATGTTATATCATCCTTAGGTAATGTTATACCATCCTTAGGTAATGTTATACCATCCTTAGGTAATGCTATATCATCCTTAGGTAATGTTATACCATCCTTAGGAAATGTTATATCATCATTAGATAATTTATTATTTTGATTAAATTATGCAATGTACTTCATTATTGTTTTTGTTTAGCGCATTTTCATCGCAAGATTTGGTTACGCAACATTTTTTCCTGATTCTAAGAGATCTATATTTTCTGGTGTGTAGTCTGATGTCCGTTCTTTGGAATGAATCATATTTTTCTATATTATCAAGTTGAGAAATAGATATTTTCTCTAGACTTACGAAACATTTTGTATTTTGTTTCGCTGGACAATTTTCCGCAGATCTTTCCTCGTTTACTTTTTTTCCTTGTTCTCTTTCTTTTTCTACTCGTTCAAGTTCTTCAATCATCTTTCCTAGTTCCGGACTTTCTTCCCTTTCTATTTCTTCTTTTTTGTTCTCTGCTGTTTCTCCTTCTGTGAAAAATTCGTTTTCTTCTGCACTTCTAGTTTCTTTTTCACGTTTCTTCTTAGTTCGGGTCCAGAGATCACTGAAAAAGTTTTGATATCATTAATTTATCCCATCCTCGACTAAATCCTTGACTTTATCTTTATCCTTGACTTTATCTCAAACTATGACTTTATCTCAAACTTTGACGTTATCTCAAACTTTGACTTTATCTCAAACTTTGACTTTATCTTAATCCTTGACTTTATCTTAATCCTTGACTTTCTCTCAAACTTTGACTTTATCTTAATCCTTGACTTTATCAATATCCTTGACTTTATCTTAATCCTTGACTTTTTCTCAATCATTGACTTTATCTTAATCCTCGACTTTATTTTCTATTCCTTGACTTTATCTTAATCCTTGTTGTCAGCTTAATCCTTGACTTCAACTTAATCCTTGAGTTTTGTTCCCTTCCCATTGTGTAGTATATAGTTTTCCCCTTGATATACACCATGTCTAAACGAACAGATTTGATTGAAGACTGGGTAGTGAGTATGTGAGTATTCAACTTTTCTTGATTTGTTCCGATTTGTTAGATGGAGCGGGTACCAGAGAGTATCAGAGAGTATCAGAGAGTATCAGATAGTATTAGAGAGTATCAGAGAGTATCAGAGAGTATCAGAGAGTATCAGAGAGCATAAGAGAGTACCAGAGAATATTAGAGTATAAGAGATTACACGAGAGTATTAGAGAGTATCAGAGAGTATCAGAGAGTATCAGAGAGTATCAGAGAGTATCAGAGAGAATCAGAGAGTATAAGAGAGTATCAGAAAGTATCAGAGAGTATCAGAAAGTATCACAGAGTATCAGAGAGTACCAGAAAGTATCAGAGAGTATCAGAGAGTATCACAGAGTATCAGATAGTATTAGAGTGTATCAGAGAGTGTCAGAAAGTATCAGAGAGTATCACAGAGTATCACAGAGTACCAGAGTGTGCTAGAGAGTACCGGAGAGTATCAGAGAGTATTTGAAAGCACAAGAGAGTATTAGAGAGTATCAGAAAGTATCAGAGAGTATCAGAGAGTATCAGAGAGTACCAGAGAGTATCAGAGAGTATCAGAGAGTATCAAAGAGTATCAGAGAGTATCAGGGAGTATTAAAGAGTTTAAATTTCATTCATTTCTATGTTTATATCCTTGACCTTTTTATATCCTTATCGATCATGTTCTAATGTTATGCCTCTGAATCTATAATCTTAAAATACCTGTCAGAATGAACTTTTCCGAATTTTCCAAACTTTCTAGCCTTTACTTTCTTCTCGATCTTTTCTAAAGGAACAATTACACGTGTTAGATGTAAAATAAGTATTTTCAAACAAAATTTGAATTTGAAAATAGGATTTTAAAGAAAAAATTGAATATTTCAAGAAATTTTTATTTGCTAAATACTAGAAATTTTTCATAAACTTTGATATACAAATAGAATTTTTACCTTTTAGAATCAAGTTCCGTCCGATATCTTGTATTTTTCTCTCTTCGTTGTCAATTATTTCCTAAGTAAACATTCTTTAAAAATCTTGTGAAAAAGAAAATTTAACATTTTATAAATTATCTCTTTGAGGCTAAGAGTCAAAAAGCAAATATTTCTAATCCTAAATTTTCGTTCACAAAGTTGTAATTAGAACTATAAACTAATGTTGAATAATTCCACAATTTTCACAGTGCTTATTAAGGGGAGTATTCGCAAAAAATAAAAGGGGGTATGGGCTGATATCGACTGCAACTAATTTTATTTTTATCTGTTGCGTATATAAGAAGAAAATCACGACCCGCTTATAGATATGATTCTATCTACCTATCTGAACTGTTATGGACCAGCGCACATGTAATACTTTCGGATGGGCTTCACAGCTGATATAGGTAAGTGGACCCTAGATTTTTAGTGAAATTTTTAAATCTTTGCTTGGGAGAGGGACCTATCGGCCTTTATCCCGTTACAATTGTCGCGAACAAATTGTGCCATCAAGGATTTGCTTTAGTATCTCCTCTGTTATCCAGTGGCAAGCGGAGAAATGAATTTACTCATAATAATATACAATAAACTACAATAAACTACAATAAACTACAATAAACTACAATAAACTACAATAAACTACAATAAACTACAATAAAACTACAATAAACTACAATAAAACAATAAACTACAATAAACTACAATAAACTACAATAAACTAAAATAAACTAAAATAAACTACAATAAACTACAATAAACTACAATAAACTACAATAAACTACAATAAACTACAATAAACTAAAATAAACTACAATAAACATCAATAAACTACAATAAACTACAAAAAGCTACAATAAATCTTTGATAACAAAATATTATTGTTTTATGATTCTTTAGACTGATCTCGGATTAAGTGAAACTCATTAATAACGCTCCTGAAATAATTGGTCTATAATTTTTAAAATTGTTGAAGAAAAAAAAGTATTTTGAGAGAGAAAAAATAATTCATAAATCTTTGATCCTAGTTTTTCAATTAAAACTTTAATTTCAAATCTTTTAAAATATGAGAAATTTGTTTCTAATTTTTATTATTTTGTTATAAAAGATTTGAGTAATAAGGAAATGTATGAGTTTATGTTTTTTTGTATTTCACTTTAAAGTAAACACACTGGCCTGTAGGAATACGCCGTCTAAAACTATATATATGTAATAAATATAGTGATAAACCCCATATCTTGTAAACCTGAACCTACCTGTATATACTATTTATATTATGTTACAGTCACCTGACCGTATTATCGGTCAATTTAATCTTATTCTGTACATTATACCAAAATATAGTTAGTTGAATATGAAATCTGTTTTCATTCGGTCATTGGTTCTTGGTAATGTATAGAGTACTTGAGAATACAGATAGAGTTGTATCTGGAATGATACAAACATTAGAATACAGAGAGAAGTGTATCTGGATTGATATATGCTTTAGAATACAGAGAGAGTTGTATCTGGATTGATATATACTTTAGAATACAGAGAGAGTTGTATCTGTATTGATATATACTTGAGAATACAGAGAGAGTTGTATCTGGATTGATAAAACTTTAGAATACAGAGAGAGTTGTATCTGGATTGATACAAACTTTAGAATACAGAGAGAGTTGTATCTGGATTGATACACTTTTAAAGAATTATCGGAGTAAGGCATTTATAACAAATATAGTATCTTGTTATTCTTACTTAAGCATATCGGAAAAAAACTTTAATCGCTAAAATAAGGAAAAGAACGGGCTTCCCTGGTTATGTCCACACAGTCTCTTTAAAGATGTAGAATATTCCACAGTTTAGGGTCACCACCAGAGGCGTAGTCTGGGGGGCTATGGGGGCTAAGCCCCCCCCCCTGGACAAATGAAATCTATGGATTTCAGACCCCAACGGGTGCTAAACTCCCATGTGGAAAAAAATGTGAATTAGAAAAATTCCTGACTACGCCCCTGGTCACCACACCAGATAATGCCTAACCTGCAGCTCTTGAAGGCGTATAGATGTAAAGTCGTCTTCAATACGATTTGAGGATTTTGAGGAACGTTTAACTGAAAGAATAAACGTTAAATTGTTCCTGTGATTTTTTAACAAGATACCGTGATATTCTAAATATAGCCAGGAATAATTTAAATTGATTGATAACTAAAAAGTCGTCTTTGACTTTAGAAATAGTTTAAGGCATTAACAAAGGTAACCTGACTTAAGCAGATTTCTTCATGAAACAATAATCAGAATATCAGAATACCCCGAGTCCTGCATTTCCAAAATGTGGTCTGCCATTTTTGTGCTTTCATAATTACCGGAGATATGAAGATTTTGTTCAGAATAAGACTCATGGTTTTATTCAATAAATTGAAATTTAAACAAAAATCTTAATATCTCTGGTATTTTGAGACTGCACATTTTGCAAATGGCAGGATCAGAGCTATTTTGTGATTCTTATTTCATAAAAATATTGATAAAATCAAGTTATCTACAATAAATGCCGTAAACTATTTCTAAAGTCAAAGACACCTTCCAAGTTATCAATCAATTTATATCATGCCTTGTTTAGAACATCACTGTATCTTGTAAAAAAAGCGTTACATTTCTTATTTTTTTATTTCCAACTCTCCTCACCTGTTGTAAGGTCGTCGGGTCCAAAAGAATGAGCATTTCTCTTCTTTTTTCCAAACAATTTGACGAGCTTTCTGCGCACTTTCGGCAGTCTAAAAATAGATGATAGAAACATTTGATAACATCATTAATAATTAGAACTGAGGTTAGGAGGATGAGATTTGTGTGCATATTTTAGGAAACAGTTCTGCTAAGAACAGTTTTTATCAAAATAATAACGAAGCTTGTAAACTCCCATAACTGGCCAACAGTGGTTCTACACATTTGTTAAGAAGTTGCAGGATCCGAACCAGTACAAGGATGTCTGTCAATTCTTTACCGTACTAGCCCGTCTAGTGTTCCCAGTTTGTGGTTGAACCAAACGCGTTTTATGCAACAAGGCGGGCTGAACTATAGTGTGAAGTGGTTCAAATTAGTTTACATGGTTCAACTACGTCTTGGTATTTATTAAATTTGGTCCCAGGTTGCAAGAATATAAAGATAAGAAAATTATATTTTGAGGCCAAAAGTTTATTTCTTCTACCTGAGACCGTAGATGAAGGTATTGGCGAGGGATGAGAACTTGGCCATCAACATTGCGAATAGGCCTAGGGCAGGGTGGAGTAACCAGTTCTGACGGAGCAACTACAACAAGTAATTATTTTAAAAAGGTTAATAGCTTTATAAAAATACTATTTATACATGGGAATTAAGAGACAAATAGAGTTAGAGTATATTCATGTAAACGGTAAAATATTGTTTTGTTATTCTGAACGTTTATGTGATGTTCTGTAATATTTCTTTCAGATAAACAGTGATGGATACCCCAGATAAACAGTGATGGATACCCCAGATAAACAGTGATGGATTTCCCAGATAAACTGTACGGTGATTTCTCATTCCGCTATATCAAGTAACAATTTTGCGGAAAATCCTAGGAATCTTTCCCAGGAATCCGCGGAAATTCCCAGTAATCTTTCACGGGAAAATTTGGTGAAAATGTCGACAGAAATTGGTGATTTTCTCGAGAATTTCCAGGGATGAACACCGTTTAGTGGCAGGGGTTGGACATTTTCTTGTGATTATTTCCCGGGAATATATCAGAACCAATTATGAGGATTTTCTTGCAACCCATTCTAAGGAATTTCTCGTAACCCATTCAAAGGAATTTCTTGTAACCCATTCCTAGGAATTTCTTGTAACCCATTCCAAGGAATTTCTCGTAACCCATTCCGAGGAATTTCTCCTAACCCATTCCGAGGAATTTCTCGTAACCAACTCCAGGAAATTTCTCTGGAGAATAACTGGAGAAAATGTCAATCAAATTTGGGGAAATTCTTGGGATTTTCCAGAAAAAAAGTTCTATAGAACCAATTCCTGTGAATTATTCCCTCTATTTTCCCAAGAGTTCCTCAGAAATATCTTGAGATATTTTCAGCATATTCCTTAGTAAATTCACTTATCAGGACTTAGACCCAACAATAGTGAACATCTTAACAACTTTATAGAAGTATGACCAACTTCTTAAGTCAGAATGTTATGGTTGTTTTTGATCTTACTGAAGATGTCTTGTAATTTGTATTTTCAGACATCTGAATTGTCAAGAACAAATGAAAAAAAATAATAATTTTTCCATTTCTCATGTTTATTGGGACACCCTGTAAATACTAATATTCATGATTAAAATGTATAATGATTGTGCGAAAGTTTATTTTCTTAAACGTGAAAATTCCTTTTATTTTTATTTTTTTCTAGTTCTTGGTTTTGTGTGTTTTAACCTCTAACCAATTCTGCTGAATTGCATAGCAATTGATGGAGAAAACTTCTTTCTTTCATGTTTTTATTTGTTTTTATTTTAAGTCATATTGTTTTCCTTTTTTTTTCCTTCACTGAAATTTTGACAAAATATATCTTTTATATTGTTTAAAAACCAGGATATAAAAAATGAATGGTCTACAGGGTTACCTTCAAAGGATAAGACTGTAAAGACGACCTAAAACCCTTTAAATTTGACGATTCTGAGGTTGATTTAAGTCTTCTGCCTTGAATATAACCTTTTTACGGCTTAATCAATGAAAAGGCAAAGAAAGAAACAAGTTTGCAGTTCCAGAAAATAATAAATATAAAACAGACTGGATAAATTCTGTACAATCGTCTCTGAAATCTCAGCCTTTGCGTGTAACCCTGTATATAATATATTTCTTCATATTATAAACAAATATAATGGGGGTTTAAAAACAATATGGTTTATTTTCCAGTTTAAGAATCTTATATATTATCCCAGTTGATGTCTCTGCCATTTTCGTTAAAGTTTAAATACAGGGGGGCTAATGGGGCTACCCCCCTCCCGAAAAAGTAAAATGTATGATTTTTTTAAATAAGCGCCCAAGTCCGAACATGGATTAAAAACTAAAAACATAATGCAAGTCACTTTTGTAAAGAAACTAAAGTTGAGAACAATCAGTACAGATATCGATTGAAAGCTAAAATATGCGATATTTTCCACAGCATGTTCTATTGTGTACAAGTACTGTACAGTGTACACTACCAATCAGCAAACATCCGTATTCATGGGAATATTTAAGAATCCTTTGGATACGAAACATAAAATCTTTAACAATAGACTAAATTCATAAATGTTATGTTTCGTGTTTAAAACTAGAGTATTTATTTAATAGTTGTACAAGCTAACCCCTGAATGGGTATTATATGCAACAAGTGGCCGTGAGATGGCAGTCAAATCAATCTTAAAAACGCATCAGTCATGCAAGGACAACTATAGGCCTAAGTAGCCCACTCTGTGAAAGGACATAAGCAGTCTGTGTAGTCTGTGAATCAGTATTTAAAATTATAAACAATGACATCTAATTCATGCTTAATCAGACAAGCTTTTCAGATACCGTTGTGAATCGGGTATCACCATCTTTGCATGGAGGGTTACTTGAGTTTACGCGGACAGTCCCTTTAATGTCCACAAGATCCCTCTGATGAAAGAAAGTAAAAGATAATCTACTTGATAAAATGTAAATGTTTACGACTATTATATAAAAGTGTAAGTGTGTTTCTAACTGAGGTAAAATCCCAGACGTTGCGACACTCTAAAGTCGACCCAGTCGTAGAAATGTATGCAATTTTTCCGAGCACTTTGAATCTAAATTACCGGTTGAGAGTATTGTTAGAAACCTGATATTAGAAACCGAGTTTTATGATTGGATCATGACAATTTTGTAAATATCTATTTTTTTATGAAGAAATATCATACTATGGTTACTTTTTATTTTTTCTTTTACTTTCTGGTCTGAGCACTGCAAATTATGATTCATATACTTTACACTGCAAATGGTACACTGTACACTGTATATTGTACACTGTACATACATTGTACGCTGTAAACTGTACACTGCACCCTTTACCTTCACAGTAAAGGGATTAATAAAAAGTGAACAGACGAGAAGTGAAAGAAATGGAAAAGTCGAAATGGATTAGGCATGAAATGTATCATGCATGAAATGGATTAGAAATGAAATTGATTAGACATGAAATGTATCATGCATGAAATGGATTAGAAATGAAATTGATTAGACATGAAATGTATCATGCATGAAATGGATTAGACATGAAATGGATTAGACATGAAATTGATTAAACTTGAAATGGATTAGGCAAGATGGATTAGATATGAAATGGATTAGACATGAAATGGATTACGCATGAAATGGATTAGACATGAAATGGATTAGGCATGAAATAAATTAGACATGAAATGGATTAAGCATGAAATGGATTAGACATGAAATGGATTAGACATGAAATGGATTAGACATGACATGGATTAGACATGAAATGGATTAGACATGAAATGGATTAGACAGGAAATGGATTAGACATGAAATGGATTAGACATGAAATGGATTAGCATGAAATGGATTAGACATGAAATGGATTAGACATGAAATGGGTTAGACATGAAATGGATTAGACATGAAATGGATTAGACATGAAATGGATTAGACATGAAATGGATTAGACATGAAATGGATTAGGCATGAAATAGATTAGACATGAATTGGATTAGACATGAAATGGATTAGACATGAAATGGATTAGACATGAAATGGATTTGTTATGAAATGGGTTAGACATGAAATGTGTCAAACATTTCCCCAGTTTCGGAGTTAATTCAAAATTGATGCAGTGTTCTGCAAGTTTCAATTTAAAAACTTTATCGTTTATAGCTAGTTGGATAGCTGGATAGTTGGATAGTTGAATAGTTGGATAGCTGGATAGTTGGATAGTTGGATAGTTGGATAGCTGGATAGTTGAATAGTTGGATAGCTGGATAGTTGGATAGCTGGATAGTTGGATAGTTGGATAGTTGGATAGATAATAATATTAAAAGTAAATATAATAATAATATCAAATGATAATAATAATACCTGTAGGATCGCTACTACTGTGTATGGAGTCCATGAAGCCGTCCACACAGCTATCAGTACAAATACCATCCTATTATAAGTACACTGTACAATATTACTCTACCACGCACAACCAGTGTACACAATCGAATATCCGAGCTGAGCCAACCTTTACTGTCCTAGATTGGACTGTACCGCCAATAAATCGTTGATAATTCGTCATATCGTGTGCGCTATTTTTAAATTGTACAATATACCATGCTTGTGTACTGGCACGACTAGCACGGCGTTTAGTGACAGATGAGCTAATACCGTACCGAATTTACTTGTGCGATCGTTGATCATACTATAACCTCGTTGTTCGCCATTGACGCCATATAGTGTGAGCTATGTATTTGTGAGGTGCGCAACTAGGGGGGTGGGGGTTGGGGGCAAGATTTTGAAAAAATGTGCCCCACAGTATTTTTATTTAACTGCACTATTTAAGCCAAGTCAAATTCAACTATAAAATTTTTCAATATAAGCTCAGATTCTTTTTATTTTCCCCCTTTCTTTAAAAAATGCCTCCAAATTTGAATTTTTTAAATTACACTTACACATTCTTATTCAACCAGACTTAGATTTTCCCCCTTTATTCAACATTTGTAATCCTTCGCCCACCCCCCCTGCTGAATGTCTAGTTGCCCGTCTGACTAGGCCTGGGCAGTGTTCCGACATTTTTGAAATCGTTCTGTTCCGTTCTAGAACGAGGGCCTTTAGTTAGATCGTTCTGTTCCCTTCCCGTTCCTTTTTTCCAATCGTTCCATTTCATCCCATTCCATTTCATTCCATTCCATTCCATTTCATCCCATTCCATTCTGTTCTTAGTCTAAAAATGTCTTTTAATGATTTCTAGATGATTTAGAACACATTTCTGATTTAAATGTGTTCCTGACTTAGAACACGTTCTTGGTAGTAAGAATGCTTTCCTGATTTTAAACGTTCTTTTATACTATTATCCGTTCTGTTCCGTTCCGTTCTTCTCCGTTCCATTCCAATATTTTTAAGAACGCATTCTTTGCATTTCGTTCTTTTTTTTGAACGATAGGATTGTTTTTGATAGTTCCATTCGTTCTTCAAGAACGACGCCTAGCCCTAGTGCCGACCTCTGGACACAGAGTAATCTGTACAGTATATATACATACAGAGCCCGAAATTTAAAATAGCATTGTTCCGGAAAAAAAGTCCTAAAATTTCACACTAAAAAAGTCCTGTGGAAAACAGTCCTTTTATTCAAAAGTGTCCGGAAATAAAGTCCTATCAATTCGAGACTTTGTTTTCTAGGACTTTTTTCTGGCTCCAGTATGATTTTATACAAAAAAGTTCTTTAACAAGTGAAAATGCATGATTCACAATTCTAGGTTTTTCTTTTCCTCGGACTTATCTTCTTAAGGACTTTTTTTCCTGGGATCTTATTTCCTGAGACTTTATTTTAGGAAAAAAAGTCCCAGGAATCCAAAACACAGGACTTTATTTCCAGTGACATTTTTTCCAAGGACTTGATAAAATTCGGACTATTTTTCCAAAGTTTTTATTTCCAGGTTTTTTTTCAGAAACTTTTTTTCTTGGGACTTTCTTACATAGATTCTGTTCAACAAACTCCTGAGTTTTCTTTTTGGGGTCTTAACATTTGTGTGGATTTTGATTCAAAAGATTCGAAAAAATGGAGAATATGAAGAAACTAAATAAAATAATACTTAACAAGACAAAAATATTTATATCAACAAAACTGGCAAACCGCATTCGTGACACCCGGGTTCTAAAACTGATTTTCATAACGATAACCTGTCTTAAGTTTTGAGCTCAGACTATTAAAGAGTAAGAAGGGCAGTACATCGGAGGGAGTATCCCACTTCCAGTGAGATTAATGTGTTTAGTTACCTGGCGAGCTTTCTCTCAGTCTCAATCTTTTTCTTCTGGAAATTGAACCTCACCCTGAAAAATTAGATTAATTAATTCCATGAAGTTATGATGTTTAATTCTTTTAATAAACGTCATTATCAATAGTTAAATGAACAATAGTTCAAACGTTCAATACTTTAAATTATCAATAGTTCAAACGGCAGTAGATCAAAAGTAATAGCATTGCTTTTTATGTCTAATATTGTATTGAAATGGTTAAAACTTTAGGGGTAGTCCGCTCCATGCAAGAGTCCGCTCCATGCATGACACCGGAATATTTATTAGAAGAATTCCTAATACCTTACATGTAAAACATCTGTCCATGAATTGCAGCAATATGTACTATGTACTAAGTAAAATTCCACCTAAATCTCAATAATTGTAAAAATAAATAATAAATGAAACCGTTTTAAAGAGTTCTATATAATTATTCAATTGAAAAACTAAATATCTGCACCATTATCAACAGGTTTAGAAAACAACATTTTTAAAATTCTTTCGATGGGTCCGAAGTTGTGGGATAAACTATATTTGGGTAAAAAATACATTTCTTGGTAACCCTGCAGTGTTAGTTTAATGTTTTCTACTAAACTAAACTAATCTACAAAAACGTTCAATTGCTGATAAAAGTCGAAACTAGTAAGCTAACACGATCTTAAACTTTTAGGTTTGTTTAACTTTTTTATCATCTTCAATAAATGGTAAAAATGAAGAACTGCTAAGAGATGCTGTGGATCCCATGTATGGTATGTGATTATATGAGGGCCCTGTTATATTTGTTATATTTCATTATCTTATTGAAGAGTAGTGGCAAGGATTTCTTCAATATTGGTTTCAGAGAAATCAACTCACTTATCGCTGTTTTTTGCTAATATTGCCCTCATGCATGATTTTTAAGATACAGTGAAACTCATAAGATTGTGGAATATGAAGTTTTTAAGTTACGAATTTTATGAGTTCAATGAATATGAAATACAGCACGCATTTGTGCAGTGGACACAGACCTTTTTCACTTTAAGTTCTAATTGTTAAGATATCTTTTCCCACTGTAGAATATCGTAATTTTTCTCTTTAAATCTTACTTTTATAAATTTTTAAAACATTAGATTTATAATTCCAAACCACTCACTTATGCTTTTTTTCTATTTCCAGGTTTTCAGGGCTCAATATATGCTCCTTCCCACCATTCTCCTTAAAAGATATATCAATTTATTTTTCTCTCTTATTATTGATTACTGGCTGGAGTGCCCGGCGTTGCCCGTGGAATTTAAAAACACGAAAAAAATTGAAATTTTGAGTTTAAAAAAAAGAAATTTAAATCTAAAAAAATCGAATTTTTTTAGCTCCCCTCCCCCCCTCTGGATAAGTTATTTTCCTCGATTATCCCAAGAGACATTAAAGTAATATAACATCCTTCCGGAAGGGAATTATGACTCAATCATTAAATGTTGTTGACTACTTTATTAACCCAGCTGCCCGTTGTCCGGGTCTGCAAATAATACTGGCATTTAAAATTATAAGGTTTTACCTTGAGCCAGAGCAGATACTTTTTTCTATCGCTGGCAAAGTCTGTGCTGGTATTTGACAATCTAAAAAATAAAATTGATGAAGCTTCGCGCCCCAATTCTTTCTCACGATCTTGACATTTTCGTATTCCCGAAACCAAGGGGAGGAAGGCCAACCACAAGCATTTCTAGTAAGAGCAACATTCTCATCATTTTCTCGTCCGAGCCACCTCTAAATCCTCGTCCTTCCAATATTATTTTTTAAAAGTGACTAGTCCTCGAAGATATAACTATTTTCTAAGAATCTGGCCACGTTAGGGCATAAATAAAATATTAAATTTTAGTAAATCGAAAAAAATAATTTCAATTGAAATGAAGTTTTCTAGATCTATTTCCTTAAAAATGTTTACCGTCACTACGCGCATTTTCAGATATTCCTGCAGGTGTAGAATGCTGTAAATAATTCCGAACTTAATCTTTTTTGTTAATTATAGATTTTTTTCGGGTGGTTTAATGGGGAAAATTATAGGCAGAGGTATGCCAAATATTTTGCTATATATTTCATATCGCGAAGGTTGGCCATTACGGTTGCAGAAGAGTTTTAAGTTTTACCTAAATAAAGTTTGACATCATTCTCATGTCTCTAAAGTTTCAAACATGATTTAATCATTGCAATACATTAGTCTATCCATATTTTATGCCCTAACGTGGCCAGGTTTGTTAAAAATAGTTTTATCATACAAGAATTAGAAACTTTTTAACACAAAATAATCGAAGGACGCGGATTTCGAGGTGGTTCGGATGAGAAAATGAGGAGAATGTGGCTCGGACGAGAAGTTGTTGTGTCTGGCCTTCCTCCCCTCCGAAACCTGAGGCCATTTTTCCATTTTTGAATTTAAAATTATAATAAAAAGGTTGTTAACAGATTTGACAATTTTGTGTTTTCGTTAGACCTGAAGAAAATTAATAAAGATTTTAAAAACTTGGCAGTTTCCTAATCTGTGAGGTCCAGGTGGGGAGTCATGGCGTCGAAGACTCCCCTCTTTTAAAAAAAAGGGGGGATCAAGAGTACCTTTTGACCCCCCCCCCTTTTTCTAGAAACTAACTAAAAATTACTGTTTTACTGTAATGTAACTGTTATCGAGTAGGTAATTTGTGGTGCTTAGACATAACATTTCGTTATTCGTTGTAATTCATGATAGAGTTCTACTTTATGATCAATCCGATAGATTTTATAAAAGTTTTTTTTTCTAAAATGAGATATCCTAGACCTAATTTACTTGCTATCCTTTTATATGTCATTATACTTTTCTTGCCTGAGATGCCGGAGTGAAAAATTTTAAAGTACGTTTTGTGTGATTTCGTCAATTGAAAGCTTGCTTTCGTTCTCCAATGTGGATACTTGTAATTTGAAAAAAAGGGTTGATATTTAACTATAGTTACACCTGAAGAGCAATCAAAAAGGAATTAAATTAATCCGTAATAAGTCTACATATGATGGAGATCAAGTCTTAATCCGGAGATACACAGCACACACATGTTGACCTTTCGACTAGGCTTTTCTCATCAGGCAATGTCAGGTATATATCACAAAACTATTGTTACACGGTTCAGCGGATTTAACATACCGTGATGGTCTTACCCTGCAAGGATAAATATAATTGAGAGATCAAGCATTGATGCTCCATGTTAAAAGTGCTCTGAAGATGGGATACTCCACAAAATATTCCCAGCTCTGAAGTCTGATCAAGCATTGAAGTATACGCACATTAAATATCGAGATCAAGTTTATAAATATCCACCCAAAAGTTACGATCTTAGATATATCTTATCAAGATCTTTGAAGATAATAAAAGATGAGCACTGAAATGGTTTTATAGGAATTTGCTGTTTATTTAGGTTTTTTAGTATTTTCCAAAAATCTCTCTGTAGTTTTTCTTCTTATCTGTCAAGGTATCATATTAAATATTCTATTTTAATATAATACAAAAAGGGACTGTACGCGCAATTTCAAAGGATCCTACTAGCAAAGATTCCAACGGTACCATTTAAACCTTAATCTGATCAAAAATGTGGACACGAAAATAAAATTGATGTTTTCAAAGAATTCTCCCTTATTCGTAACAGCAAAAAATGCGAATTCAACTTTGCAGAAAAACCGCAATGAAAATAAGAAAGTCCTGCTAATCTAATTTATAATTGATCAGGCAAAGCTTTTAAGGGTCAGTTAAAAGTACGCTTATACAGTTTAAGAATGGTGCTAAATATTGGTATCATTTCTATTCAAGGACAAATTAATGTTTTGTAATATTTTCAATAATAACGGTGTGGGAGTACTCTGCATTAGTGGAAACGTGACTCGACCCAGCTCTTAAAACATGTTTTGGAACAATATTTATTGTACTAGCCTTATAGGGCGCTTCGCGCCCATCTTCTAAATTAATTGTGAACATGTTCTCTTTCTGTACATCGTAAAACAAAACACAAAATATTTCGTGGATTTTCAAAATTTTCAAAAATTTAATGAAGATCGAATTTTGATTGAGACAAATATTTAACATTTCAATCATTCATAAACCTTCCCTGGGGTCCCTAGATGTCCCACAAAAAATTTGGGCCCGATCGGTTCAGCCGTTTTGACGTTTATTGGACACAAACAAACAGACAAACAAACAAACACCAAGACAAGCCAAATTTATATATAGATAAACAGAACAGAACTATCTTAGAAAATCTTAGAATATTAATTATGGTATTGTGCATGGCACACACGAATAAAGTAAAATAATCCACTCTTCTCTTCGATTATTCTCTCTCAAAACTAATTAAACACTCAACTTTAACTCTAATGCTCTAGCTAGTGTGTTCGGACTTTAGATTTTATCTTAATAACTTTTAAATATTTCTTTTATTAGTCCAACACATGCACATTTTAAAACTTTTCTGTGCCTGTTTCTATTTTTAGTTAAAAAAAGTAATTGGCAAAATAATGATAGATTTTTGCGTGAGGGTTTGCAACCTTTGTATCACTAAATCACAGTTCTGCTTATTTTCTAGTCATCTACATATGCCACCAATAATTTTTGTCAGCCCTGTATATGAAGATTTCAAACTAACATCAAGTTTGAAATATTTTTTGGCAAAAACATAAAAGATTTTACGTCGTATATTTGAAGTTTACCTAGTGTGAAAGTATATTTTGATATAGCAGTAGAAGATAATTAGCATTGGTATCACATAGGCCAGTACAATCAGTATATAGATGTAGGCAATATCTTCAACATCTGTCGCCCAGGTGTTAAATGAACATCCGTACAGATAACCCTGAAGTAAAATCGTTTATGAGAACTTTATCCCAGTTCTAGATAAACCGTAAATAATTCATCAATGTATTCAAACCAAAAATTAGAAATATTTTTCAAAAAGTAATAATCACATAAATTGCCTCATATTCCTACAATTTCCCCATATTTGTCTGCCAATTTAAAATTCCTTTCTAAATTACCAGAGACATCAAGATTTTTGTATAGATTTTTAATATTTTAAATAAAACCATGAAATTATCTAAATCTGAACGAATAATTTATATTTCTATTAATTCTAAAAGCAAAAAATGACAGACCACATTTTGGAAATGTCAGGACTAGTGTTCATAAAAAAATATTTGTAAAATTAGATTACCAGATTGAATGCTGCAAACTTTTCTAAGGTCAAAGACGATTTTCAGTTTGTTAGTTCAATCAATCAACTATTCCTGTTTAGTTAGAACAGCATTGTATCGAATAGTATTTCATTTATTATTTATGATATTGAATTTTTCTAAAATCATTAGAGTGATACCAGAAAGAAAAATTAATTAACCTTAAAAGACTTAGATTTAATTGCTAACTCTAGTTTTGTATCAATAATCAAACCATCTACAAATTATATTCAGAGACTTCAGAGACTACTGTAAAGTATATGTATTAAAACACTAGTGAAAATCTAAATATTATATTTAAGACAGAAGATAATCTAATCTAAATATTATATTCAGGACAGAAGATAATCTAATCTAAATATTATATTCAAGACAGAAGATAATCTAATCTAAATATNAAACTTTTTAAAGATCTGTAAATCCTGAGTTTGAGCCCAAAGTCGACGTTCAAAATCGTACTTTTGGGTGGATACATTTTCAGAATCGGATCAAATAATGACGACATTTAATGTAAAAAAATCTACAGTAAACTAATTAGATGTTTAGGAACAGGTTGAGAAAATAAAAATTAATCTTATCATCGAAAATAAGTAATCTTGTTCAATTATCAGTTTCTATTTTCTCATTATTCACAAAGATTTTCTGGAATTATTATTGAAAAAAAGACATTTGAAGAATTTTAAGAAATCTGCGAATAAATTCAAAGAGAATAAGAAATTCAATATAATGATAAAAACGAAATAATTGATTCTAGAATTGATTTATTGACAAATTTCCTTTGATAACTATGTTCCTAACCATTAATTAGATTACTTTATAATTTTTACTTTATTTTTCGTCTTTGTTATTTAGTAATTTTTAAAAAAAGATTCTGAAAACGTAGGCACCCAAAAGTCTACTTTGTGGTCAAACTCAGGATTTACAGATTAAAAAGTGTTATATGTCTCAAATGAATCCTAAAGAATTTGTCCACAACATTGCATACTCAGTTCAACTACCTTACATAACCGGTCTGTCCATTTAATTAATTAATAGTTGCTCATTCTAGATATTTAGAAAGTTTTCCAAGCGGTGAATTATGAAAGAAAATTCTCTAGAGAAATATATAATCTAATTCATCAACAAAGTGAAAATTTTTATAAAAATTTCATTTGTATGCTAAACTATGATGCAAGAAGATAATCTAATCTAAATATTATATTCAGGGCAGAAGATAATCAAATCTAAATATTATATTCAAGGTAGAAGATAATAATCTAATCTAAGGAGTTTGCTGTCATCAAAGTATCATCTCATGGGGGTAACTCTGTACAGTGTACGTACAATCAGAAATCTTGGATGTAAGATAAAGCTGAGTAAAAACCGGTTTTCTCACCTCTGCCACATAGCTGTTGATGCCTAGTAATGGACACATTGAGAAGAAGAGAGCTGCAACCCAGATGCCGAGAACAATTAATTTTACCTAATTAATCTTTATTTAGTAAACAAGCATCGTAATAAGAGGGGTGTAGCACGCTCCAATTTCAACCATAAGGAAGACATTCTTGTTTTTATTTTTCTCCCGATTTCAATTTCAAACCTGTCCATGTCTCATCCGTTTCTCTCTTCTGAGTGGATAGAAAATCGCCATCGCCCTGTCATACGCAATCATTGTTAGCGTCCATATCTGGGCCAGTCCTGCCATATTTCCTAGACTGCCAAAACTCAAACATCCTTGAATATAGAAAAGAATATATATTTTGACAAAGATTTAAAGGGACAGACCGGCTATGTAAGGCAGTTAACCCATGAGTATGCAGTGTTGTGGACAAATTCTTTAAGATTCATTTGAGACATATCAAACTTTTTAAAGATCTGTAAATCCTGAGTTTGAGCCCAAAGTCGACGTTCAAAATCGTACTTTTGGGTGGATACATTTTCAGAATCGGATCAAATAATGACGACATTTAATGTAAAAAAATCTGCAAAAATTATATTTAGGGCAGAAGATAATCTAATCTAAATATTATATTTAGGGTANGTGGATATCGAGATCAATGCTAGATCCTCTCTTTTTCTTAATCTCCTGATTAAATAATGCTTGTTCTCCTCTTGTTTTTAATATCCAGATTAATTAACCGATCGGGATTAAGGATATCCCATTCTAAAGTTTTCAGCTCTGGAAATTTTTATTTTCTTAATTTTGTAATAATTGTCTTAGCAGTTTTGTTAAATACTGTTTTCTAGACTAAATAATAATGATCACGTGAACATCTTAACATGTTTACTGTTTTTAAGTTTGGATGTTTTTTATATTTTTCCACTCCTTTCCGTCATTTCCTGGTGAGTGAAAAACATCGAAATGCACGTACTGATAATGAATGAAATCTTTTGATTTCCATTCAACGTTTATGCCACGGGGTTCAATTCCTCTTCTGAAACTTATTAGGGAATATTGAAACAAACATTCCCCCTGGAAAATTAGAAAAACAAAAATATCAAAGATTTTTTACTTTCTATTCACTGTAATTTCAAGTTCATTTCAAGCTCCAGGCTGGCTTTTAACCAGCTAGAGTAAGCTGTGCAGTACATTTATAAACTACAGTAAGGCACACAAGAACGGTACGCCAAATGAATGACCTCCTTCTAGGAAAATTTATGTGTACTGTACTTTGCTGTACTTGTTGGGTAGCGTTCAATTGTAAGGAGGGAACATGAAAATACGTTCTCAATCTTTAAACTTAAAGCGTTAGTTGGGCAAAAAAATGTTATATGTATGAAAGAGAAAGACTTGGTAAGTTAACATAAAGCTACAACGGTAAGCATATATATCAATACAAAGTTTTTTAATAAAAGGTGATACAATACAGAGTCTTATATATATTAGAATACAGTATCATGCACTGAAATGCTACATAAGGAGTGGTCGGTGTATATATATTTATCAGGTACCGGAATTGTATTATGACATCAGTTCAGTAACCAACACTTTATTGATATATATGCTGACCACTGTATTAAAGGTAATATTCGAAAAAGTTCTAAATAATACTCGTGACCAGCAACGTCTTTTTCTTGTTCAACAAACAAATAAGTTTTTAAAGAACAATAAATACAACCAGTGCAGGAACCCAGCGTTGCCCAGGGTACTCATAGTTACTCCCGCCACTTACTCCCACTTGGTCGATTTACCGGGATACTAAATTTCGCTTTCGATTCACTCAATTTAAGAATCTCTAAAGCAGGCTAAGAACTTTCCGCGGTTCTCCTGAATTCCCTAGTCAAATTTGAGGCAGATCGGTCAATGGGTCAATGGGTTCCTGAGTTATGGTCGGCCAAACAAAAAGAGATTGATAACCGCCAAAAAAGTTCTTTGAAAAAGTTTTCTGAAATAAAGTCCTAAATTTTAGCAATAAAATTATTCTGTTGAAAAAAGTCCTTGAATTAAAAAGTCTCTTAAAATAAAGTCCTACCATTTTGAGACTTTATTTTTTAGGACTTTATTTTCATTTCATACAAAAAAGTCCTCTTAAAGTGGAAAATGAATGGGAACAAAGGATGTTTACAACGATGGAAAAAGGGGCAATAGATAATAAAAACACCCCTGACTATATTCAATATGTAGATGCATAGAATAAAATTCCTTTTTATGAAATAGTTTCAGACTTAACCTCATTTTTCCAAGACTTTGGACTTTTTTCTTGTTTTTTTTCTTTAGATATATTTTCCTCGGGACTTTGATTCCCGTGATCTTATTTCCTGAGACTTTATTGGCAGCCCCCGTACTAGTTTAGGAAAAAAAGTCCCAGGAATTAAAAACTAAGGACTTTATTTCCAATGAAATTTTGTCCTAGGACTTCAGACTTTTTACCAACATTTTTATTTCCATATTTTTTTCCAGAAACTTTTTTCTTGTGACTTTCTTACATTGATTCCAGAGATTACAACTTATATAGAAACTGAGCGAAGTTTAAATCCCCCCTACGAAAAACTGAAATACAAACTTTTCTTAACGAAGTAATGGGGTTTACAACTATACAAATACACTCTTCCCCGTAGCAAGGGAAAATATATCCATCAAAAAAATCCAAAAAATCTTGTCTAGTTAGAACACAGGTTAGAACACATGTTAGAACACATGTTAGAACACATGTTAGAACACAGGTTAGAACACAGGTTAGAACGCATGTTAGAACACAGGTTAGAACAGATGTTAGAACACATCTTAGAACACATGTTAGAACACATGTACAATCATAAATTTCTCTAATTTTGTAGACCCTCTTTTAACCTGCAATGTTGAAAAAACGGATCAAGTACAGTCGTCGTCGTTTAAATCAATACAATGAAGACGATTTCGATTTCAATTGTTGCTTTCACAAAGTTTAGCTGTACAGTGTATATAAACAATAAACATGGAAACTTGGAGAATTGTCAACTAACAGCTTCTCTTTATAGTTTGAAAAAAGCTTGTTTCAATTGAAAACTAAAATATCAAAGTTCTCTTTATTGTATTGATATAACGCCGGCCACTGTACTATACTCAAAATACCTAGCATCCCTAAGAAGGGCCCGTTCTCCCAGGCGTTGATGATGAGAACCCAGGACTTGAACATCATCAGGAGGTCCGCCATAGCCAAGGAGATCAGGAGACGGTTGGAAGGAGTTCGTAAACTGGAGTTCTGTATGTAAACATACAAAACCAAACCGTTCCCTGTAAAATACAGGAATATACAGGGGTACCCAAAAAACAGGGATTACGGGTTTTCAGTCCCTTTAATCGGTAAAAAAGTCTCGAAAATGTGCTCCATCATATTGTTATGTCGAATACTTAAAAATCTATCCATTGCCTTATGCTAACCAATATTGTTTCAGAAACAAGAAAATCGCTTACATTTATCTAAACCTCCTTAGAATCCAAAGTATAAAGGTAGTTTTAAACCTAGAACTCTATGAAGAGAAATTACAGTAATCCCGTCCCCACGGTTGTGAACAGCTTTGATGGATCTTAGAACTGGCCGATTTTTTTTGCATTGCATCAAATTGGGGCATCTTTTAAAAATAATTTGAAATATAAACATCAAAGAAATCTAATTCAGTAATTATTACAATTTCTAAGCATATTTTTTCTCTCTACATTAATTTTAAAATTCACCTTTTTCAAAAATTGGGACAAACAAAATATTTAAATTTCTTTAAAGAAGTGAGAACACAATTTTTGTTTAATTGTAAGAGGGCACTTTAGAAAATATTTCAACATGTTAATTAAGTTGCTTTGCAAAATAATTCCAAAAAAACACCAGAATTGTGCCTTTCCAGAAGTTTCTCTGTGGGGAAATTAAATTAAAAAATATTTGAATCCTGATTGATATTTTTAATCCAATTTTACAGATTTTAGGCAGAGAATTTTAAGTTACAGAAATGAAAAAAATAAAATGAATAAAATCATAACAAAAATTACTTTTTCAAATGTTTTAAAGTACAACTAAAATTATTTTTCGTAGCTTGAACTTTGCTCACAATAAAATTTACCTTGCCTCTCGTAGCGCTCAAGTTATAAAATCTTATATATTTTTTGCTTATATCGGAATTTTCCTTTTTTACTTTGAAGTTTAAAACAATATTTTTCCGCAGAATGTGCAGAATAATAAGCTCAGTACACAGGAAAAATATAAGATCAGTTAAAAATGCATATCATGTATCATGACAACTTTTAAACTCAAGCTATGACTTTAAATAGCCAATAGAGCATAGGAAATGGCAACGGTGCAGTCTAAACAGACCCATTTTACTTAATTAGTCATTTAATAAGTGTCTAGTAAAACTATTTGCTTTGTAACAACGCCAAATACATTTAAGGATTAATAAGTGTCAAATTATGCTAGAATGTCGTCTTCCTGTTTCAGAATATTCTGGTTACCACTGTATCATAAATAATTATTCCACATAATATACACTCTAATGGTTTAATAATTATTTGAAGGGTAAATATTAAGGAAAACAAGGAAAATAGTGATTTTATCAAAGAAAAACTAGAACAGGGGAGAATTAAAGGGGGGGGGCCTGGGCCGACGGACCCCACCCTGAGCTCATGGAGGGAGGGGGGAATAGAATTGAATAAATGACCTGAAATACCCGTTAAATTGTTTTCTCATATTATTATTCATACTAATATACCTGTGAAATTACAGATAGAAAGTGTGAGAACTGGAGTTTACAGATAGAAAGAAGGAGAAAACTAAGTTTTACAGCTAGAAAGTAGGAGAACTGGAGTTTACAGATAACAAGTAGGAGAACTGGAGTTTACAGATAACAAGTAGGAGAACTAGAGTTTACAGATACAAAGTTGGAGAACTGTAGTTTACAGATAGAAAGTAGGAGAACTGGAGTTTACAGATAACAAGTAGGAGAACTGGAGTTTACAGATAACAAGTAGGAGAACTAGAGTTTACAGATACAAAGTTGGAGAACTGTAGTTTACAGATAGAAAGTAGGAGAACTGGAGTTTACAGATAACAAGTAGGAGAACTAGAGTTTACAGATACAAAGTTGGAGAACTGTAGTTTACAGCTAGAAAGTAGGAGAACTGGAGTTTACAGATAACAAGCAGGAGAACTAGAGTTTACAGATACAAAGTTGGAGAACTGTAGTTTACAGATAGAAAGTAGGAGAACTAAAGTTTCTAAACTCATATTTTTTTAACAAATAAGAAATAGGAATTTTACTGCTTTTTGTTAAATTATTAGGGGGGGCGGGCGAAATTTTTTACAATTATGCCCCCCCCGGCCCCCCCTCTTAGATTATGGTTAAATCCGCCCAGAGCGGTCTAAATAATAAAATAAATAAAATCTCAAAAATGTCAAAATGTAAACAGTTCAAACTTACCTGATATGGCGATCACAGTGATTATGAAGAAGATAACAGAGAGACATCTTGCAAACAGGAGGCTTGGCTGAAACAGGAGGAAATTTAACAGGAGGCTTGGCTGAAACAGGAGGAAATTTAACAGGAGGCTTGGCTGAAACAGGAGGAAATTTAACAGGAGGCTGGGCTGAAACAGGAGGAAATCTAACAGGAGGCTTTGCTGAAACAGGAGGAAATTTAACAGGAGGCTGGGCTGAAACAGGAGGAAATTTAACAGGAGGCTTGGCTGAAACAGGAGGAAATTTAACAGGAGGAAATTTAACAGGAGGCTTGGCTGAAAAAGGAGGAAATTTAACAGGAGGCTTGGCTGAAACAGGAGGAAATTTAACAAGAGGCTTGGCTGAAACAGGAGGAAATTTAACAGGAGGCTTGGCTGAAACAGGAGGAAAATTAACAGGAGCCTGGGCTGAAACAGGAGGCTTGGCTGAAACAGGAGGAAATTTAACAGTAGGAAATTTAACAGGAGGCTTGGCTGAAACAGGAGGAAATTTTACAGGAGGCTTGGCTGAAACAGGAGGAAATTTAACAGGAGGCTTGGCTGAAACAGGAGGAAATTTAACAGGAGGCTAGGGGCCGAGCGCTGCGGCCACATGGTCAAATATATCCATGTCTAACATATAAGATCCATGTACAAAATTGATTGGAGGGTTGCGAGTTTCCTATGATTCAAATCAAAAAATATTTTTATCATTTTGACCTTATGTCGTTTGACCCTTTGTCGTTTGACCCTTTGTCGTTTGACCTTTTGTCGGTGAATCTTGAAACCGGACGAAAATAACAGAAGCTTAGCTAAAACAGGAGGAAAATAGGCAGAAGCTTAGCTAAAACAGCCTGGCTGAAACAACAAACTTGGAAATAAAGAAACAGAAGAAGCTGGCTTGGCTAAAACGGAAGGAAAATAAACCTCTGCGATGTACAAATAATGTACAATTTTATTTAATAGCGTTTTCATTTTTAATTGACAAAAGCAAAGTTTCTGTTTTTATATCAACAAATATAAAACCTTATATTTCTCTAGCTTGGGCATGCCCAGCGCTGCCCAGTTTACTAAAAATACGCTATTTACTTGCACTTGAACGAATTTATCGAGAAACTAAACTTTTGCTAAAAACCAAGCCAAGAATGTTCCCCTCGGTCTCCCGAGTTCCCCAATCAAAATTCCAATCCAGGGGTTCCCGAGTTATGATCGGAAAAACAAACAGACAAACAGAGATTACAACTTTATGTATATCTAGATACTAGTTTAGGTTGTTTACACAAAGTATTAGGAAAATTTTGATATTTTTCTTATTTTCTACTTTGAAAATTTATTATTCATTGCGAGTAATTTTACTTTTATTAACTCAAAAAGAAAAATTTTCATCCTAAAAAAATTTGTTATAAAGTTAAAAATGAAAAAATACGAATATCATTTGAATAGAATAAATGAATGTTAGGAGGATGAAAATAGGTTTTAGTTTACCAGAAATGGAAATTAAGTCTTTGCCACAAATTCTGATTTTCTAGTCCCTGTATCTTTGCAACCCACTGTTTAATTCAATGTTTTCATAGACGTAGGGAATACAAATTTGAGTATTTTGACAAAGATTCAACTTTTTTAAAATGAGATTTTCCAAATAAAACTACTAAGATGCTAGTTCGGTTTCTTCGATTTGAATTTAATTGTGTTTGGTTTGGTCTCCATACTTAGCTTGCATTGATTAATAATGTTTTAAATTTGTAAGTACATTTTCTGTTTATAAATTTATTCTTGAATGGATCCTGTAATCCCGCAATATATTTATATGTCGTCTTTTTTACAGCGAGTATTTTGAAAGAAAATCATATATTTCATAGTAAAAGCACAAAAAAGTATAATCTAAATATCTAAATAGATTCTAACAGCCACATAGAAAAAATTTAGGGGCTCCAGCAGCACCCTAAAACCTAAATGTAGTCAGAGCACCATGTTGAAATATCCTATTTTAAGAGTTTTCAATGAAATAGCGGGTTTTCGGTTGAAATTCTCAACTAAAACATAACATTTAAACAACTTAGAGACTTCTCTAAAAAAATATTAAGCGGCCAAGCCTTATTTGACATAGATAAGAGGCTTATGGAATAAACTCATTTTGGCAGACACCCCCCCCCCCC